CGCCGATGAGGTGGAGAGGGTGATAAAGGTGGGGCTCTGCTGCCTCCACGAGGACCCTCAGCTGCGGCCGAGCATGGCGATGGTGGCCGGCTGCTGGCATGCTTGAGGGCACCATGGAGGTGTGGGAGCCGCGGGTGCAGTCACTCGGGTTCCTCCGGCTCTATGGCCGTCGTACATGTCATCGTCGCAGCTCTCTCTGGTCCAAGATAGGGCGGTGCACGCCGGCGAGAAGATTGTGTTGTTAGAGATAGATTATACGGTTGCATTGATCATTTTGGTTGATTTGTAAACAGAGGGATTAATTTGTGCGTCGTGAGGTCTATACAAATTTTGATCTGTTTTCCCATCGGCACACGAACCTGATATTCTCGGCGCTGTTCGCGGCGTTGCTGGTGTACCTGATGTGGTGGTGGCGGGAAAAGATCTGGTCGTCGACGCCACTCCACGTGGTGGGGCTCGCTGAGATGCTCGCCATCTTCGGCCTCGTCGTCTCTTGCCGAGATGCTCGCCATCACCGAGTAGTCGCTCCGTGCACCGCGCGACGAGCTGCCCGTCGTCCCGTTCGAGGAGTTGGAGTCGTCGCCGGTGGCGGCACCGACGCCATCGCTCACATGCTCACTGCGGTTCTTGCGGCCATGCACAAGCTCGAGGAGAACCATCCCGAAGCTGTAAACATCAGTGCGGTTCTTGCGACCGCTGCGCCGGTGGCCGCCGCAAACGCCAGGTGTGTGGGGGTGGGGGAGCGGGTGTGTCGGGGCCTCCACCGCGCCAGCGCCAATGCCACGCGCGCGCGTGCCGCCGCACCACAAGCCGCTTGCCGCCTCTCAGCTCCGTCGCTGCCCCTCTGCGCAGCTCGCCGCCGCTCGCCATTCTCAGAGGGGAGAAAGAGAGGGATAGAGAGGAGAGGAAGGAGAGAGGATAGAGAGAGGGGATAGAGAGAGTTGTAGTGAGGATGACAGGTGGGTCCACGTACGCCCCACCATTTTTTTAATATTGTGTGTGTGAAACTGACATGTGGGTCCCATAGGTTTTATTATTTTTTGGATTGAATTGCCACGTAAGCGCCACATCAATGCCACGTCGGATGAAGACCGAGTCAAATTAGCCACGTAGGCACCACCTCATCTAAAACCGGGGTCAAATACTGCCGAGGGACCTTATTTAAAGGGTTTCGCAAGTTGGAGAACCTGTCGTACCCGGTTTTGTGATCAAGGGACGAAAATCAGACTGGGCGACAAATAGAGGGACCCAAAGTGAACTTATTCCTAATAACGTTTGGGAAACCAATATAGATACAATCCGAGTAGAACTAGGGAAACCAATATGGATACAATCCGAGTAGTCCTTGTCATTTTTATTTTTAGAACTCTGGTTGTCTTTCTTTATCCGGAACTCCCTCGAGGTCAGTTTCCGTATAATACATGGTATGTAGTGCATCCTGCCGAGATTTAGTCAACTACTATTAGGTATGTGGTATCCATAACCCGGACAATAGCCCCCGACTTCAATGCAAATGAACGAGTTCATATTCTCAACCGCAAACTTTGGAGGAACTGTTATCGAGCTCACGTGACCGTTCTCGGTGAGTTTAAAGATAACGTTAGACTTCCTTTATTAGCCTCGTGCGGCCACCGAAAGGGTTTGTCTAAGTCAATCTCTGATGTCGACCGAGAAAGTACAGAGCGTACGACTAAGTCTCCCGTCTTGCTGTAATCGAGAATTTGGATTGAAGTCAAGAAATTTTATCTCGGCGGGTACACCATCTCTTCATTCCGTATTCCTTGTCGAGATCCAGCAACCGTTCTCGAGTGATCAAGAAGGCGTAGAGTCTGCGACGGAGCCTTGTCGACATTTGTCGTACTCGCCTTAGTCGATCTTGGTGTAGAACCATAGAGACATGGAGTCTTCGATAATGTCGAATAGAATTTTCCTGAAATCAATACTCAGAAAAGAATATTAGATAGAAATAGTCCCCGAGCGAATGCTCAAAGGGTGACATGTTATAATATGACAGACTAGTGAATTGAATGTACAGGCCAGTGCTTTGTATATGAGCGTCTTCTCTCTTACCGACTCCGATCAGTCAGTTTGTAGAGTCATACACTCTCCCTAGCCCCCAGCCTTGTCGTCGGAGAATCATTCTAAGAAGATAAGGCTCTTAGACCTTTGACCTGCCTCGGTTGAACAAGCACTGATCCTAGCCCCCAGCCGTGAAGTTGGAAAATCCATTTCCGATTACACGGCTTGGTTAATACGCACGGCGAGAACTCTTACACGACTAGATCTTACATGGTCTTTCGTCTCTTCAGGATCCGACAAGGCCTTATCGGCTCTGGGCGTCCCCAGCCGAAGTTCCCTCAGGTTCCTCGGAGGCCTTGTCAAGACGGCGTAAAGGGACAGTAGGATAGGTTTCAACGCTAGGTGTCATCTGGGTAAGGGATCTCTGGGTAAAACACTTGGCGATCTTGTGCACCTGATATCAACTTTGTTGAAGCAGGGGTAATGGGAGAATCGCTACATCGCTGGTCGAGGACCAGGCAGTAGTCGTAACTCGACCACTTAAAGTGGAATTAGTGGGAGAAACGCTACATCGCTGGTCGAGGACCAGGCAGTAGTCGTGACTCGACCACTTAAAGTGGAAGTGGTGGGAGAAACGCTACATCGCTGGTCGAGGACCAGGCAGTAGTCGTCACTCGACCACTTAAAGTGGAAGTAGTGGGAGAAACGCTACATCGCTGGTCGAGGACCAGGCAGTAGTCATGACTCGACCACTTAAAGTGAGGCGAGAGAAATCACTATGTTTTACTGGTTCGAGAACCAGAAGTAGGAGTTTTTTAATCACCTATAGGGGCGCTAAAGTTGGTTTATTACATGTGCATATCATGTAGCCAGCATGACTCACACACCCAACTTGTAGCATATTCGGATGTCCGTTCGCAACCATATCGGGTGATCAAGCCAACGACGTTCGTGAGGAATTATCCGTTAACAACCTTTTCTCGAGTAGTCCAGCCATGGCCGGTGCTATGAGATAGGTCGTCGGTCTTCGTTGGTAGGTCGGGTGCGATAACTCCACATTTGTCGAGAATGTTCTCGATAATAGAGTGTACTCGACTACAACCTACTCGAGTGTTCAATTGTTCCTGAAAAATATTTTCTAGAAGGCAAGACATATAGCAGATAATATCGAGTATGTACTCAAAAAACTGCATGGATCTTCTAGTATTATCAGGACATAACAAGCAGATGTAAATGTCAGGGCATTATGTAAACCGTAAATAAGCATGATTTATACAGAAGAAGACAGAGCGAGCCCCCAGCGTTAGATCGTAGTCGATTTAACATCAGGGACACCCGTGCAACAGATATTATTGTATAAAGAACATGCTCTGGGTAAACATAATAAATTATAGATCTGACAATACTGTATGATCTGAATAGGTACGATAAATTGCAGATAAAATATTGCGTACCTTTGTAGATACATGCCGGATGTATTTACGAAATTAGTAGATCAATTTAAAAAACCAATCTACCAATTACCTTGTTGCATACTCGTTCGATATCATGCGATCTGACATCTTTTGGTACGCCGCGGAGCTTGAGGCTTGGATGATCTCGATAGACCAAGTTGTCGATGACGATGATGGTTCCGATCTGGTTAGGTTGGATCTCCCCCTCAGCTGAAGTCATCGAGTAGCTTGTTGTTCGAGAATCCATCTCTTGAACCTATCTCGTCGAAATCCTAAAGCACCAAAGTGCCCCTACCTGGCGCGCCACTGTCGATGTTTGATGTCGCAATTCTGGTATTTGCATGGTATGGGGATCGTCGGTGCTAGGATATACGCAAGACTGAGGTAAAAGAGATGGAGACAGAGATTTTTATACAGGTTCGGGCCCCTGGACGGTCAGGTAATAACCCTACATCCTGTTGGCCGAAGCCGGTATTGCTCTTATTCATGATAATCACATCAGTACAATATTTGGGGTAGCCTATCTAACTATTGTCGACATGGCGGTCTGACGATCTGACTCGTAGTCGACAACAGGGTAGCCTTCCACCTCGAATCCGTGCCCGGCGAGATCAGAGATAGCGCTTTCGTCTCTCCTAACAGTATCCGGAGACACCGTAGGGTACTAACCGTGCTTATCCCTAAAGTCGATATCCGGCGGCGTGTTTTGGCGTATGTAGGCTTCTATGTTGATTGTGTTGGGTGTTGATCCTGTGTTGGGTGTTGATTGTCTTGTCCCCCCTTTCCTCCTAAGGGGCCCTGTATTTATTCCCATAGGTGTCCCCTTGTTCAAGTAGAACTAGAGAAACCAATATGGATACAATCCGAGTAGTCCTTGTCGTTTTTATTTTTAGAACTCTGGTTGTCTTTCTTTATCCGGAACTCCCTCGATGTCAGTTTCCGTATAAGACATGATATGTAGTGGATCCTGCCGAGATTTAGTCAACTACTATTAGGTATATGGTATCCATAACCTGACAGCGTCAATGATAAGTTCGTCAATATTAAAATATACTGGTCTAATCTTTTAAAGATGTTCATATGATTATATGATGAGCACACATTATGACCACTTGCATTTATACCATGTTTAAAAAAGAGTTAACCAGCAGAAAAAAAAGAAAGTATCTAAAAATCTACCTCAAGATTGTAAAGAAAAAACTTTCAAATACGATATAGTATAATTGCCCTGTGACTATACTATATCACTATAAATATCATATAACTTTTATATAAAAACCTGTATTTAATTGTGGTTTCGTTGGCTAATACCGAGATATTACGCGTGACCTACATGAAAATTTCATTGTAGCAATATTTTTTTTCTTTATGCACAAATCTTAATATAATACGATGGTCACAAATATAAAAGTTTTGGAGGAAAAAAAACTGGCGAAAATTTTTCTAACAATTTCGAAAAAAAAAACTATTTTCTGGATTTTTCTCCACGTCATCGGGCGAGGCCATGAGCAGTGGCCATGCAAAGCTCACCCTCCACGTAATCCTCACTAGAGGCAGCGCTAACGCCACGTGTCACTCAAACCTCTTCCTCTTCTTTCCCTCGCCTCGCCTCGCCTCGTCGCCGGCGTCCGCGTGCAGCGTCCGGCGATGCGCCGCTCGGCCACGGAGCCATGAAGGCCTCGGTGAAGCTCCGGGAGGACGGGGCGGCGCCGCTGCTGCGCGCGAAGCTCCCCGTGGCGCTCTTCTCCGTGCCCGCCGTCGCCTCCCTCACCGCCGGCGACCCCGCCAACCTCCGCCTCTCCCTCGCCACCGCCGCGCCGGCGCTCCCTTCCATCCGCCTCTCCTACGCGCCCAACCGCGCCACCTCGCCGCTCTCCCTCGCCGTCGTCCTTGGCTCCGGCCCCGGCGGCTCCCCCTCCTCCTCCGGCGCCGCCGCCTCGGCCATCACCATGGCCGTCGAGGTCAACACCGCCGGCGCCGTCTCCTTCTCGCTCGCCCTCAAGCCTTCGCTGGGCGACTTCGCCGTGCGCAAGCGGTTCGACTCCGCCGCCGCCGGAGGCGGAGGTGGCTCAGGTTCTTCGGCTTCGGCGGCGTCGGAGGTGACGATGAGGAGCGCCATCCCGGTGCGCGGCGGCGCGGCGGCGGTGAGCGTCAGGTGGGGCGTGAGGATTCCCGCCGAGGTGACCGCCGGCGGGGAGGAGGGCGCGGCGGCGCTGGCGCTGCGGAGGCTGCCGTTCTTGGTTCTTGGCAAGGTAACGGTCGAGAGGCGGCCACCGCCACCGCCGGCGAGCACCGCCGAGGAGACGACGACGACGACGGTGGAGAAGACGAGGAGGGAGAACGAGAGGCTGACGAGGGAGCTGGACGAGCTCCGGGCAGCGGCAACGGAGAAGACGGAGAGGAAGATGACCTCGGCTGCCGCTGGTCGCCGGAGCAGCGGGTGGAGGTCGCCGGAGATGGCCGGAGATCGGAAGACCGTTGATTTGGGCCGGTGATTCGTGGCTGTTGGATTCACATGTACATAGGTCAGCAACGAATGTATCAGTGAACTTCTCAGAAATCTGAAGAAATATTTTGTCCAGTTGAATCATTAATTGGATGGTTCACTTCATATTAGTAGTTGAGAAGAATTCATGTTCAGATGTGTATTTCGTTTGTGATAATTGAATGGTGCCTGGGTAGTGTAGTCTTAGCTCCAACGCTAATGCTGTTTGCAAAGAAATTGTCAAAATGGTATGGAACTCGAATTCTTCAAATATGAAAACGGACCGGGTACCGTGCATTTTTCACTGAATTTTTAAGTTAGGAAAAAACAATGAATTCATTTACACATATTTAGTTATCAGAGAGCTATGCCACACAAATTGGGAAATGGTGCTAAAGCTTGGATCATGCACATTCTCAGGAGAAGGCTTTTGGTCTCCGATGGCTGCCGACATGGATTCACCAGCTTTGAGCTGAGACGATGAGTGACATGTTCTTTTTTTCAATCCCTCCCTTCTCTCTTTTTTGCTCTTCCTTACGAATGTGCCTCTCCTATTCAAAATTTCCTCTTTTCTATATTATAAACATACACACACCTGACATTTCAAGAATATATGCAACACTCTTGATTTTAAATTTCAAACTTGAGTTTATAGTATTTCCTGCTGGTATGTTCAGTCATTGACGGAGGGCAGCTTAGATTATTGCTGGGATTATCTGTTGTTGCAGCTAATGTTATAGAAAGAACTGTAGCATAATCACTTTTTATTAGACTCATATTTAATTAGATTATATATAGACTTGTTTTAGTTACAAGTGAATTTGATCCATGCTTGAATTTGTTAAATGTATATATTTGTGCGTTACTTGTATTTGACATGTGTTCGCTGGATGATGAGCATAGCTAAAGTTTTATTCTAGTCCCGAATAACAGCCATGTCATCTCAATAGAGGAGCATGAGGAGATCAATAGGATGGAACCGAGATGGCATAAGACAAATAAGGAGTGACTTGGTGTGTGGAACGGTGATCCTACTTCCAGTTGCATGCACAAACATGAGAAAAAGCATGCTGCATTGGACGAAGCAAAGGCCAAAATTCATGTGTTCCCTTAGGAGTATTGCACGAACTGAGCCATGCCCTGATAATAATCACATAATTGATTCATTGCATTACTTGTGCAAGCCAGGTGCGATGCTGACAGCCAAACACATATCCATCTTGCGTGACTCCTAACCCTAGAATTCCTTTCTTTTTCATGGACTAGCAATTTGTTTATGCGTTGCAATGTGATCTAAGAAAGACATGTTTCCACATGATTTTCGGATGCATCAGATGGAGTGTTTTTTTTTACTACACGCAAGTGGGCTGATGCGTGAAGGAAATTACTCCAGAAGTGGGTGGACCGATTGTCGACGTTTAATGTCGCGATTCCGGTATTTGCATAGAATGAGGATCGTTGGTATTAGGATATACGCGAGACTGAGGTAAAAGAGACGGAGACAAGGATTTTTATACAGGTTCGGGCCCCTGAATTGTCAGGTAATAACCCTACATCCTGTTGACCGAAGCTGGTATTGCTCTTATTCACCATAATCACACCAGTATAATATTTGGGGTAGCCTATCTAACTGTTGTCGACATGGCGGTCTGAAGGTCTGACTCGTAGTCGACAACAGGGTAGTCTTCCTCCTCGAGTTCGTGCCCGGCGAGATCAAAGATAGCGCTTTCGTCTCTCCTAACAGTATCCGGAGACACCGTAGGGGACTAACCGTACTTATCCCTGAAGTCGATATCCGGCGTCTTGTCTTGGCGTATGTTGCCTTGTATGTTGATCTTGTGTATTGATCTATTGTTCCATGTCCCCTCTCCTCCTAGGGGGTCTTGTATTTATACCCATATGTGTCCTCTTGTCCAAGTAGAACTAGGGAAACCAATATGGATACAATCCGAGTAGTCCTTGTCGTTTCCATGTAGAACTCTGGTTGTCTTTCCTTATCCGGAACTCCTCCTATATCCGCAGGTTGTTTCCGTATAGGACATGGTATGTGGTGGGTCCTGCTGAGATTTAGTCAACTACTATTAGGTATGTGGTATCCATAACCCTGACAGTAGCCCCCGACTTCGATGCAAATGAACGAATTCATATTCTCAACCGCGCGCAGACCTTGGAGTAATTGTTATCGAGCTCATGTGACCGTTCTCGATGAGTTCAGAGATAACGTTAGACTTCCCTTATCAGCCTCGTGCGGGCACCTAGAGGGTTTGTCTGAGTCAATCTCCGACATCAACCAAGAAAGTACAGAGCATACGACTAATTCTCCCGTCTTGCTGTAATCGAGAATTTGGATTGAAGTCAAGAAATTTTATCTCGGCGGGTACACCATTTATTCATTCTGTATTCCTTGTCGAGATCCACCAACCGTTCTCGAGTGATCGAGAAGGCGCAGAGCCTGCGACGAAGCCTTGTCAACATTTGTCGTACTCGCTTTAGTTGATCTTGGTGTAGAACCATAGAGACATGGAGTCTTCGTCAATGTCGAATAGAATTTTCCTGAAATCAATACTCAGAAAAGAATATTAGATAGAAATAGCCCCCGAGCGAACGCTCAAAGGGTGACATGTTATAATATGTATAGAAAACTGAAAATGAATTAAATTTACAGACCAATGTTTTGTATATGAGCGTCTTCTCTCTTACCGACTTCGATCAGTCAGTTTGTTGAGTCATACACACTCTCCCTAGCCCCCAGCCTTATCGTCGAAGAAACGTTCTCGGAAGATAAAGCTCTTAGACCCTTGACCTGCCTCGGTTGAACAAGCACTGATTCTAGCCCCCAGCCATGAAGTTGGAAAACCCAATTTCCGATTACATGGCTTGGTTAATACGCACAGTGAGAACTCTTACACGACCAGATCTTACATGGTCTTTTGTCTCTTTAGGATCCGACAAGGCCTTATCGGCTCTAGGCGTCCCCAGCCGAAGTTCCTTTAGGTTCCTTGGAGGCCTTGTCAAGATGGCGTAAAGAGATATTAGGATAGGTTTCAACGCTGGGTGTCATCGTGGTAAGGGATCTCTGGGTAAAACACTTGGCGATATTGTGTACCTGATATCAACTTTGTTGAAATAAAGGTAATGGGAGAATCGCTACACCTCTGGTCGAGGACCAGGTAGTAGTCGTAACTCGACCACTTGAAGTAGATATAGTGGGAGAATCGTTACACCGCTGGTCGAGGACCAGATAGTAATCGTAACTTGACCACTTCAAGTGGAAATAGTGGGAGAATCGCTACACCGCTGGTCGAGGACCAGGTAGTAGTCGTAACTCGACCACTAGAAGTGAGGCGAGAGAGATCACTACGTCCTACTGGTTTGAGAACCAGGAGTAGGAATCTCTCAATCACCTATAGGGGCGCTAAAGTTGGTTTGTTACATGTGCATCTCATGTGGCCAGCATGACTCACATACCCAACTTATAGTATATCCGGATGTCCGCTCGCAATTATGTCGGGTGATCAAGCCGACAACATTCACGAGAATTTGTCCGCTAACAACCTTTTCTCGAATAGCCCAGCCATGGTTGGCGCTATGAGATAGGTCGTCGGTCTTCGTTGGTAGGTTGGGCGCGACGACTTCGCATTTGTCGAGAACATTCTCGATAATGGGGTGCACTTGACCACAACCCACTCGAGTGCTCAATTGTTCCTGAAAAATATTTCCTAGAAGGCAAGACATATAGCAGAAAATATCGAGTATGTACTCAAAAAACTGCATGGATCTTCTAGTATTATCAGGATATAACGAGCAGATGTAAATATCAGGCATTATGTAAACCGTAAACAAGCATGATTTATACATAAGGAAATAGAGCGAGCCCCCAACGTTAAACCGTAGTCGATTTAACATCGGGGACACTTGCACAATAGATATTGTATAAAAGACATGCTCTAGGTAAACATAATAAATTTTAGATCTGACAATGTTGTATGATCTAAAAATAGACACGACAAATTGTATATAAAATATTGAGTACCTTTGTAGATACATGCCGGATGTATCTACGAAATTAGTAGATTAATTTAAAAAATCAATCTACTAAATACCTTGATTTGCATGCCCGACATACTGTCAATAGAAGATATATGTATGCATGCAATAGACCTGGACGTCAATATCTTGTTGTCTTGGAAGAGCAATGCCACCTGTCGCATGCATACATGTGTCTAGGCATGTGTATGTGACATGGTTAGGCAAGCACGCTTGGTTGACCAATTCCGGCTAGCACACGGCAAGTTGGCGACGCAGCGGCGCCTGTTCTCGGAGAATTTCATGTGGCATGCATCGAGGTATATTGGTTGGTGGGAATCGGCGTCGTGTCCGGCCTGTGCGCAGCCAGCCAATACCTCACACCAATTGATGTCGTGCACAAGGAGGAATTGATATTGGATCGGTTTCGGAAGCTGCCGATACTGAAGATTCTCCACGGCGGCGATGACTTGATGAAGCTTGGTCGATCTCGCCGGATCAAATATTTGACGATGATGGTTCCGATCTTGTTGGACGACATACTCCGGTCGGGTTAGATCTCCCCATAACCGAAGTTATCGAGTAGCTTGTTGTTGGAGAATCCATCTCTTAAACCCATCTCGTCGAAATCCTGAAGCACCAAAGTCCCCTACCTGGCGCGCCACTGCCAACGTTTGATGTCACGATTCCGGTATTTGCATAGTATGGGGATCGTTGGTACTAGGATATACGCGAGACTGAGGTAAAAGAGACGGAGACAGGGATTTTTATACAGGTCCGGGCCCCTGAATTGTCAGGTAATAACCCTACATCCTGTTGGCCGAAGCCGGTATTGCTCTTATTCACCATAAACACACCAGTATAATATTTGGGGTAGCCTATCTAACTGTTGTCGACATGGCGGTCTGAAGGTCTGATTCAAAGTCGACAACAAGGTAGTCTTCCTCCTCGAGTTCGTGCCCGGCGAGATCAAAGATAGCGCTTTCGTCTCTCCTGACAATATCCGGAGACACCATAGGGGACTAGCCGTGCTTATCCCTGAAGTCGATATCCGGCGTTTTGTCTTGGCGTATGTTGGCTTGTATGTTGATCTTGTGTATTAATCTATTGTTCCATGTCCCCTCTCCTCCTAGGGGGTCTTGTATTTATACCCATAGGTGTCCCCTTGTCCAAGTAAAACTAGGGAAACCAATATGGATACAATCCGAGTAGTCCTTGTCGTTTCCATGTAAAACTCTGGTTGTCTTTTCTTATCCGGAACTCCTCCTATATTCACAGGTTGTTTCCGTATAGGACATGGTATGTGGTGGATCCTGCCGAGATTTAGTCAACTACTATTAGGTATGTGGTATCCATAACCCTGACACCGATAAAACTCTCCTTTTATGGGAGTACGTCCCGTGATTCAAAATGTATTGTGTAGAGCAAAATACAATAGATCATACACTTTTTCGCTAACAACTTTTCTCTTGATTACATGCTTGTCTCTTTTATATTTGGATGTTTGTAAAGTTTTATCCTTGTTTCTCTTTATTTCCTGCTTCTCAGTTTGTTTAATTGGGAAGAAATCCTATTACTCTAATAACCACTTAAAAGAAATCGATCCACGTAAAATTGTGAAATCTGTAAATACCATAATTATTGTTCATTAAGAATTAGTTTCATTAGTTTAGCTATGTACACGTGGTTTAGATGTAGAGACAAGTTTTATTACATTTTCTTTTTTCCATTATATTCCATTAATTGATTATGGGACATGGCAACATCGCAAGAGACATCTAAACAGTGTCACAGGAGGTGTAAAAAAAACACCATTGCAGGCAAGGTGCTGCAACTTTTATTTTTGTAAAAAGTAATAGCAACAAATATATGCAATGTCCAACAAATATATAAATTCTATCACAGTGAGTGGCAATCATCTACCGGAGCCATCGTTTTGCTTATTCGCGGAATAAGCGAAACAACATATTTTCAAACGAAAAGTAATTTGTGAATAAAACTTTTATATACGCGTTTTTAGCGATGTACTCCCTCCGTACTCGTAAAAGGAAGTCGTCTAGAACAATGTTTAAGTCAAACCTTGAGAATATAAATCATGAACAACTCTCAAGTTGTTGATTTTGAAAATGTAAAAAATTATATGAATAGATTTGTCTTGAAAGATACTTTCGTAAAAGTATACATATATCACTTTTCAATAAATATTTTTATAGAAATAAGACGTAAAAGTTGTGTTTTAGAGACCGTGTCTCAATCCTAAATGACTTCCTTTATGAGTAGGGAGGGAATAAAAGCAAATTTTGGATGATAAGCATAAACATAAGCGAAAAGATGAGGCCCTACAACTTTGAGATTAAAAGATATGCCTTTTTTTGGCATTTCATCGAGGATTGTCAATGCATGGTTTGCACTAAAGAAAATCAGCAACTACACACATCGAGGGAGGGCGACAACGGCGTCATGAGCACAACAACATAATTTAGGCAGGTCAGTGGGTGACGGCTCCCAATTGACGATCGATTGGGTTGAGTGTGATGTGTTAAGCAACCCAAAAAACAGTTTTAGGATATTAATTTGGATGAACTGTTAATGCTATGGGTTTCACGGATCGGACATGGTTGGTATGGCTTGTCGCCTTGTCCTAATTGTTGAGTCTCGCTGATTGCGGGCGTTGGTGGAAATAAAATCCAATCTTATCGACAACATACAGAGAAAAATAGGATGACGAATACGATGACAGATATGCCAAATATACGCATGCCGAGTTCGGTAAGGAGTCGCATGACGTACGAAAATCTTTGACAAAAACGTCTTCAATTTTTATAATAGTAGAGATTGGTTATATTTTGGTTGTGTATTGTATATAACCCAAAACTATGTATTGTATTATGAACTTCATTTTAGAAATAATTTTAGGGGTTACCTGTCTTTTTTTTCTTTTTTTAAAAAGGCTAAGAAGGCAAGTGTAAAAGTCACCTAAAATCATTTCCGAAATCAAACTTTTAAATTGTAAAATTACTTAACCCTAGGAACAACCAAGTATATAGAAAATTCCTTTGCAAAATTTAAAAGGTAAACTTTAAACTCCATTAGAAGGGTTTTTTTTTTCTTTTTGCAAAAAAGGAAAAAAAGAGAGAGAGAAACGACTGGCATATGTGTATGCCAGAAGAGAGAAGTAGAAGTAACCACCGTCCTTTCTATACACGTCTCCATTTCTTTCCTCTCCTTTTCCTTCCCCTCCAAATGCCAACCCAAACTCCACCCAAGCTGCAGCTAATCAAATCATCCATCAACTACTACTATCTCCCGATTAGAAAAAAAAGAAAGAAATCAGGAAGAAATCGCCCATGGCGAAAGAAAAAAGAATTCTTGTAGAGAAAAAAGGGGGACAAAACCCAGAGGTATCTGACCATCTGAGACCTCCCTCCCCCTCTGTTCTGGATCTGTCTTTGCAGTACAGTATTCATTTTTTTTCCTCCAGCGATTTCTTGGTTGCCAGAGACCTGCAGACACGCGGCACGGAACATCCGCCGCACGTTTTTGTCGCAGATTCGTGTTCTTGATGCTTCCCGGCTGCTGTTCTTGATGGGATGGATGCGGTTCTTGGCGTCTCTGCTGAGTGCTGAGATGTTTTGCAGCTCTTAAGATGATTTTTTTTATCCGATTTGGTTATTTGATTCTCTTATCTTGGTATGGTTTTCAACTTTGAATGTATTCGCCTATTTAGCATAGAACTTCGAATGTATTTGCCTATTTTAGAAGAGAACTGACAGGATTTCTTGATAGATTTTCCTCCACCTGATTGAGGAGTGTAATTTGGACAGTGATGGATCCTTCTGACGGGGAACTCCTAATCTCCTTTTGTCAAGAGGCAATCCTCTGGCAGATGCTGTTCTGATTGATTGTTTGGTCACTCAACAACGCAAATCATGGGCATCTTGTGGCTATCTAGGGTTGGATTTGGGGCTACACCATTTCTTCTTCATAGATCTTTGTTTTCGCAAATCTTGCAATCTCTTTTAGCCTTTTCTGGAGGATGACTATGGTAGAGATTGTTCTAAATTCTTGGTTTGATTTTTCTTGGATTTATTAGTTGATCTTGTGAATTGCATTTCCCCTTCATTCAAGCTTCCCAAAGTTCTACTGGTTGGTTAGTTATTCAGATTTGATTTGATTCTTTTTACTTATCAGCAACTTGGGTTGATTTCAGATGAGAACTACATGGTGGATTGGCTCATGATAGTGCAAATCATTGGCTGAGATGAGGAAAGGCATGTTCATCGACTCCAAGATTGTTCACACCAAATGTCAGGCATCTGAACAAGACAGTCACCCTTAAGAACGAAGTATGAAATCCGAGCCTGTTCTATCCCTTTGTAGTTCCACTTACATTGTTTGATTGGACCCTTGGTATAAAACAAAAGAGCTCATGATTTATTTTGATCTCTGTCATTGGATCTTTTCTTCTATGAATTGCTAATGTTCGATCCTCTATTAACTTTGTGCTGATGAACACTTTCGATATATTTGCACTAAATTCTTGCGTGGGGAAGGAAGTATTTTGAGAAAGCTTGACTTTTCTAAGTTGGTTTTTCTTATTCAGACAGCTTCTTGCTCAACTCAAACGGGATAGTTCTGGTGGAGAAGGTTCAACCTTAATTATGCAGTATTGCTTCAGGTACCCTTTTATTTTTCGTACAAGTTGATCCTTGCTTTTGTTATCACTGCATGAACCATCGGATACTTGTTTCAACTTGTATGAAATGCGTGCATTATGTGAGATAGAAGATCACTATCATCGGTTTTCATAGGAGGGTGGACCTTTTTATATCTTTAATACTTGGAAAGAAGCTTCTTGCTCAAATTACTTAGTATTGTCTTATGCGAAGAAGGTTGCTGAATTGTTCTTTTATTGTCTATTGTATGCCTTATTAGGCTCATGATAACTATTATGATGAGGCAGTCATTCAGTTTTAAGCATGTTAAAGAACATAATGGTGTTTGCGTTACACTCTATTCTTTCTTCTGGTCAGGCTGTGGCACCATGATGTATACTATCAATTCGGATGCTTTAGAATGGGGTTGTTGCTTTGTTAGACCTTGACACTTAACTGCTATCTTTCACCAAGCATTAATTGTTTCTACCAAAAATTAGTTTATTTGGGAGATTCATGACTAGTATTTCCTTTCCGCTTTGTTAGTTGCACTCGTAGGTAAATCCATAAATGTTACATTCCATGTGTCCTATACTCTGTAGTTGTACTTTCTGTAGTTAAGATTGTAGCATTTTTTATGTCTTAAAATTAGGTTTGATTGCATATTTCTTTGTTGTTCCTTAATATTTCCTTATATAGCACAGTATTAACTGAAGGATCACAAATTTGACACCAATAACATATACTCCCTCCGTCCCAAAAAGACTCAATTCTTGGGTTTCCGTGTCCAACGTTTGACCGACCGTCTTATATGAAATTTTTTTATGATTAATATTTTCATTATTGTTAGATGATAAAACATGAATAATACTTTATGCATGACTTATCTTTTTAAATTTTTTTCAAATAAGACGGACGGTCAAACATTAAACACAGAAACTCAGGAATTGAGTTTTTTTAGGACAGAGGAAGTAGTCAGTAGAGTACAGAATAAGCATTTCTATATTGTTTAGCAAAGATAAGGTTGAGGGAAAAAAGGAGTCACATCATTGGTCAAATTTTGAATTTTGAATTGCTTAGGTTCCCTTGATTGGTTGAAAATGCTTTGGATTTCCATGCATTGGAATCAATGTCCTAGAAATGCTTGTATTTTTGGAATGGAGAGAGTAGTTGACATATAATCTTTGTGGTGTCCCTGTCAAAATGTCCTGCTCCAGTTTATTGTTTACTGTTTAGAAAAATGACTTCTTAATAATCTCAGTTTATAGACATTTAATGGTAATTCCATATTTATTTTAAACCTGTTGGATTTCCTTTGCATCTGGAAAAATCCAAGACAAGTTTTGTAGAATTTCATCCAAAATGAGTTTTAAAAAAAATCATGTGCATCGAACTTCAAAAGGCCAACAGCAGTTCTCTGAAATGCTCAAGCCTATTATTGCTTTACGCCTTTACTTGCATCTTGTAGTAGCAATCTATAAGTTCAGCTGGGGTCAGCCTGCAGGTTGAAGACGATATATGAACTAACTGAGGACAAATTTTTGCTGTAGAAATCAGAGACTATAGTCTTCACATTGTTTGCTTGTTCATCATTGTAAGGTATTATGTGCTCAGAGACTACAGTCTTCACATTGTTTGCTAGTTCAGCATCAGCATTGTAACGTATTATGCCTTCTCTCTCCCTCCTATACTGTTATTTTGGGCGAGAATTCTCTACTATTTTCTACATTAGTTATTTTCTATTAGCAGCATTGAACAATAGCCGATGGATTTCATGTCCATTCATGCAAGAGCTCTGATTGTTTCTGTAGAGTAACAACTTGAATACGAATTCAAGTAGTAAATGCACAAGCCAAAGGCATAATATACCCTATATATAATCCCTTATATTATGGGATGGAGGGAGTATGTTAAAATGAAGTCACACGTCTATAGGGAATTGAGTTATTTTTAGTATTTTGTTTGGATTATTTTGTAGATAAAAAATTATTGTTTTCAAGTAAGTGCACCATAAACTTCCAAAGGTTCGCATGACCATGAGAGGGTACCTCGTATTACCAAATATTGTAAATGTTAGTACAATGCACAAATCCTGGAGCAAATTTCTTTTTTGTTGACCAACACGCATGCAAAACATGAGATTATCCATTAACTTAGCAACATAAAAAAGCAGCATCACGAAAGTTAGCTCCACTTCTGGATATTTTACATGGTCAGGATGCTAAGTTTTTCTACAAAACAGCACTTCCATTCTCCAAAATAAAGATACTAGACCTAGAGCTAATTTCAGAATAAATTTCAGTGGTAAGATTTTACAACATGCAGGCTTCTGATGGAATTCTGTCTTCATGTTCCAGCAATTGTTTTACACGGCATCAGCGCCTCCAAGCATGTGGCCACCATCAACAGCCATAGCGTCTGCATAGTTTGCTTGATGCTGGCTCCCAGCATATGGTGCATTCCTTCGCACACGATTGTGCTCATCTGATTTCAACAAAACAGGAAAAGGCTTGTCACATATACATGGCAGAATGTTCATTTGTAATGTTGATATCTCAGTTATCAAGACATTTTTTGCCCTACTAATGCTTATTGCACATGTACGGGATACCATAATTTGTAACCATTTGGCCATAGATGTAAAATGCGGACTGCAAAAAAAACATTGGTGTTGTGGCCGACGATATTTCCGACGAAACGTTCATTGAGTTACAAGGATCCCACCTCCCAGGAAGAAATAAATACAACAAAATATACAAGAAAAGAAGCAATTGGTGTACAACCATGGCAGTTGAAGCTGCTACACCTATTAGGGACTTGGGGGGCAAACTTCCTAAACTAGAAACAGAAATAATTTTTTTCTGCAACATCAGAACGTCCATATCCTTATGTTCAAGGAACAAATAGATTAGTATTTACCACTTTCACCATCAGATGCCTCAGCAAGCCTTGCGATGGCATCAATCAACGATTGCTCTTGCTCCTGCAAACATTGCGTGTTACTTGAAAATGAAAGGCTTAAATAATATGCACAAAAGTTGTGTTTTACCTTCAGCACTTTCTTTGCCTTCTCTACCTCCAGGGGATCTGGATTATTAATACTAAAAACCCTCTCCACCTATGTCAAAAGATAAATCACAATAATGCACACGATGTTTGTGGTTATTAATAACAAAAATATGTTACCAGACTAACCTCTTTTATGAGGCTCTCGGTATGAAGTATATCAATGTCATCAGAACTTCTCTTGCCAACTCCATTTTGTGAGGGTGGAAAATCCTTCCGGGATACATGCTTTGGTAATCCCCTCCCCCTTCCTGTACCTGGTGTTGGACCACCTCGGCTAGATGACTTCTTGCCTCCACTACCTGGAGCACCTCGGACTCCCTGATATATCCCAGGGTCATCACCTTGCCATCTTATATCTTCAGGTCCCATCTGTAATTTAGCAACCCAAGCAATAAGAAAAAGTCCACACAGATGATTTTGATGTACATTACTAATTAGTGCCCTTAAGAACAAAAAGGTGAGATTCATGCTATGAACAAAAAGTGCTCTGAGACAATATTAATCTCACTATGGCGCTTACTACATTCACCAGCAAGAATGATGAAACATGTGCTTAGGCAAGTGATTCAACAGGAAAATATCTAGTCCATCCCATCTTCGGGGAGTACCTTGTGTTCACATACAATGTTAACTGGACGCAGACATGCACTGGAATCCTCAGATTCGCGTGTCTAATTCAGCTTACAAAATTGGAAATGCAAAATACTACATGGTATCCGTGGTTGGAATGTATAATTCCGCAAAAAAAAATGGACACATATGTCCTTGTAACACTGCTCTCATGCATCCTCTTCGAAGAACAATACTACATGCTATCCGTGGTTGGAATGTACTTCCGCAAAAATAAAATGGACACAGATGTCCTTGTAACACTGCTCTCATGCATCCTCTTCGAAGAACAATACAAGTTACCATGAAAATTTTCAAAAAAGAAAAAAAAACTCGATAACATTGACACAAAATCAATCATCACAAAAATTCTAACCTAAATTCATTCTACACAAAGAGAAAAAAAGGTACTCCATTCCAAAATATAAACATTTCTAGTTTGTTTAGCAAAGATTTAGCGAAAATTACTTAAATGCCCTTGCTTGGATTCCCACCCAACCATCTTTCAACTTGTTTAATGGTAGCTGTAATTTGTACTATTCCCTATGTTTACCCCTACACGAGGGGCTTGTTTGGCAGAGAACCAGCTCCAGCTCTCCTGAAGCTGAAGCCCAACCAAATAGTTTCAGCTGCACCCAAAAATGGAGCAGATCAGGCTGAGTGCTCTCACAAAATGAACTAGGGGGGTAGAGAGGGGTTTAGGCTGCTCTGCAACTCCACTCCAGATGCAGTTCTTGGAGTTAAATTTAGGAATTGAAGCCCTGCCAAACAGGCCCGAGGTATTTGCCCAGCTTGGCTAGCTTATCCTCACATCACAGGGCTAAGCAAAGGGCATAAAAGGTCCAAATGCACCCCCAAGTACCCAGTTTCTCATTCGTACAGAATCCTGAGGCTTCCTCACAAATCCAGAATTTTTGCAAGATTTTCACTGGAATTAGTTCGATTCCTGCTGGAATCCTCAAAACTTTCCATTTTGCAAAGGAAGCATGAATAAATCTGGCAGATTCTACTTTTTTTCCCCAAATCCTCAGTACCGAATGTTTGTGACATAACTTTCAAAAGAAATTGATGGACTACAATTTGGCTAGAAAATGAAGTGAAACATTGATGTATATGTAATAATGGGTGAAAGAATTTACTAAGAGAAAAATGTAGTTGTCAATGTTTGCTACAGACAACAAAATATACCCAAAACAAACTGGTACTAGAAACACATGGGCAGAGTATGGATTGGTCTGGAAGATTAGTTGACAATAATATTTTACTTTCACGAGCATGTCAGACAATAATAAGTATAAAAGCTTAACCATTAACCAATAGGCCAGTCCCTTTTGATTATGTTAGTTTTCACGGAGCATGGATGTTGATTCAAGAGTGCTATAGATGTGCATGGTATGATCAAGTTCCTAATTTCTTCTAAACAACAAAAAATGTCTGGTTCAAATCAAAAGGTAAAACAAAATCACGATTTCCTTGCCCCTGACAACTGTTTCAAAATCACGATTTCCAGCAGTACTGACAACCATGAAATCCTAATCTACATCATGCTCATCTCCAAGCATCCCAATAATTCAATAGATTTTTAAATGCAATGTTCCCCTAGAAAACAATGAAAACCTAAAGTGAAGAATTTTCAAATGTTCACAGGAAAAAGGTTGCAAACCTGTTTAAGATCAACCCACTCCCATGATTCATTAGCTGTATTTATGTCATAAGCCAATGCATACAGATCCTGCAATGGAATCCCTTAGAAAAGCCCAAAGGCCTGAATCAACAGAACTGTAGCTATAATGAAGTAAGAACAAACCGTTTCTGGATTATAATCAGTAATAGTTGCTTCGTAAAAACTGTTATCTTCAGGCCACCGGCTCATGACTTTACGATTAATTAATGGATTAATATGCAGTGCTTCGGAAGGTTCAAAAGAAACAAGGCCAACAGGAAAGTTTCTATTCATATGTGGTCCCCTTCCGCTAGGACCAGCTGAAGATGTCATGGCCTTGACTGAAGGGCCCCCTGGCACCTTCTGACCCTGGAAGCACATGAAACTTCATCAAAGAAACCCGATTTCTTTTTTTAAGAAAGAGACATCAGAATTATGTGCTTACTGGTTTGGTCTTTTTGCCTTTAGCTCCTGATGAAGCTCCCTTTTTAGCTGTTGAAGATGATGGTGGTCCTTGTAAAGCCAACTGCTGTGAATGCATAACAGGAGGCGGTGCAGGCAGGGCAGGAAATGATTGCGATGTCTTTTGCCTCTTACGGCCCGAGGTGGTAGGGCTAGGCGCTAGATCATGCATAGGCTGAGCATTATTGGGTAACATTGCTTGAGGCCCTCCTGCTGATCTCCATTCCCTTGATTACAAGGAAGAAAGAAATTCAGAATGTTGAAAACAGAACACACATGAACACTTCTTTATATATTCTACCTTATGCTACGGATAATATCATCACTGTTGACCCGATTTAGTAGTTCCCTGTGGTCTACATCAGATACCCTTAGCTCTTTCCGAAGTTCTGTTATGAGACCTTCTTTCTCCTGGAAATGAGAAACAGCTTTGAGATATAATGTTCAAGATGAATCAGCACAGACCCAAAGATAATAAAACCATAGTTTAATGGTTAACAACCCATGTAATGGCGTCAGACTGGGCTTTAAATGCACGAAGAACCGAGCAATATGCTTCTTGTTCAAGATGATGGATTTGTGTTGCCATATCAGTATGGGCTCTAGTGTATGAACCAGCAGGAACAATAGCTCTTCCATTACCACTGACACGTCCACTGCCTCTAATACCCCTATTGCTTGGATATGGTGGAGGAAGATCATCAGCAGTTCCTGCAGCCAACACGTTTTTGAAAACCCAGCATTTAGGAAAAGTACCATAGCAGCTTTGCAATAGAATTTCCTACATTGCTAGCTGACTAAAGAAAACAGCTCATACTGCTCTTGAAATTAAGAGAAACAGAGAAAATATGTACCAAGAAATAACACAATATACAACTCCAAATGAAAAGCAGCATATTCATCAAAATCCTATAGGTTGATAGACATACTAACTACTATTGTAGGAGAAATATGAGGCATTGATTCCAAAAGGTGAAAACATGTGTTATCTGTGTAACAAATCATACTTTGATACAATTTAAGAATAAATACTATCACAATTCCCACTATCAAGGAACACATGTATTGAAATACATCAGAACTTAAATACTCCTGGATTCGTACAACATCAAAACACTGAAATCAATTCACGACATGTCCAACTAATGGAGAAGTAGAAATTTCCCAAGTCCTCAACAGGAACACTATTTTTTGCAAATGCCAGGACCTACCAAAAGAAGTTTAAAAACAATGTTTTTTTAGCGTGACAGTTGAGCTCATTGCCACAGATGAGTCAGTCAACACGAAAGATCCTTTTGTTCACCAAGAACAGCGAGGTTATTTAAGATGCATAAGAAAATCTCTTACCACTTAAAAACAAAAAACATATTAAGCCAAAAGCAGAAATTGTTTCATATCAAAAGCTCCAAAACAAAACAAAACATGAAATTACACTTCACCAGCATACAGCTAAAGAAACAAAATGAAAAACTTCCAAGCTCAGTAACAGGAGGGTACTCTAGGTATGACATATCCCCTGAACCACAGAAAGTACCACCTTCTAAATTAACTCCCACAGTGAGCTGCCACAAGGCTATGAAAGAAGCTCCAACAAAACAGGTGCCCAACTAAATAATTATTATGCCAACCCAAGGGTAACCAATTGACAATATGCCAATCAAATTCACACCAGAAGGACTCACATTACCAGGCAATTTAAGAAAACCTAACTCCCATGCGAGAAACGGCGCAAATACCCTAAATCCAATCGAATTTACCTGCACAAGCTACACCACAGGTTCTCACTATTCACCTGCACGAACAAACACATCCCAGGGAAACAAATTCAGCTGGAATTCGCCGGAAACCCACTCCCCCCACAACGCCTCAAATCTTTCCACGAAGCTAATTTCACGAGACCCTTTAACCCAAAACCCCCCTACAAGGCAAGCTCAAACCCTAGCTCCCTCCACCCTCGTCGACGCTCGCAGTAAAATGGCGCCCAAGAAAAACCCTAGCAACCACGCGGAACGCACCGCAGCCGCGCGCGAGAACGGACGAGGAAACCCTAGAAAATCCCCCAAACGGGGAGGCCGTAGCCCTTCTCTCTCTCGCTCCCCCCACCCAAATTACTCACCGCTGCTGTCGGATGCCTGGCCGCCGCCGTAGTCCACCGACTGCGGCGGCCCCCCGCCGGGGAGGCGCGCGCGTGCCCCGGCCAGAGCTGCACCTGAAATCAAAACCAAACCACCCCCCTAACCCGGGGGGGGGGGGGGAGGAGAGCACGGGGGATCAGCATAGGCGAAGGCATGGCGCGGCGGAGGGGAGATCCGCGGGAGGGCTAACCTCGGGAGGAAGCGGGCGCGGCAGCGGCGGCGGAATCCGGCGAGATTTGGGGGGGAAGCGAGCTGATCGACGAGGAGAGAGAAGGAGAGAGAAGGGAGGAGGCGCCACGGAGGCGAAGGGTCAAAGGGTGATTGGACCACGGGCGGGTAACCTCACCGCCAATCGGAACGCCTCCCAGCAAAATTCGTTTTCTTTTTTTTTTTAACTAGAAAAAAAAGCCCGTGCGTTGCAACGGGTGCAACAGGTTAAAAGATGTTTTTATCATTGTACATTATACTTCTTCATTGGTTTTGGGCCAAAAATCCATCCCTTTCTTCCTTTTCAGTTCTTGCTCAGGCCGCTATATTTTACCGCTTGGCTGGCCTCTCTTTGGCCTAGCTTATAAGTGCAGCTGTAAACCCAACTTGCACAATCAAATGCAATCTTCAACCTCCGAAAGTCTGTATCGTGCCTGTAGATGCCGAAGGCATCCTACTCATCAAATACAACCGAGTCTTTATCGATCTCTCAGAATTGGCTCGCACGATCAAATGTGATCTTCAACCTTCGGAAGATGGCCTGTAGATTCTAGAGCCATCAGAATTGGTTGAGGGTTTTAAAACGGCTTGGAAAACTCGTTGGCCAGCCATCATCAGCAATTGTTAAATAGAGATTAAATATGACGAAAGTAAATATGACGAATTAAAGCCGACTTGGAACTAAAAATCATGGCAAAAATGATAAGGGAGAAAGGGAGAATCGATTTTTGTAATTAATTGGAGGAGGAAAAAGGCAAATTGATGTGGTGGGGTAGATTGATGTGAGACTATGCTAGGGTTCTGCCCAGTGACAAGAAAAAATAAACCGGGTGGATAAAAAAATCCAGAATCCTTAGCACATGCACAATAGAAAAACCACAGAAAAGATATCGGATTGAAAAAAAAGACGATGAAAAATGAAAAAAAAACGAATTGAAAAAAAATGCAACGATATAAAAAAAAGGGGGGAAAACGGATATAAGATATTTGGATTGAAAAAAAAAGAAAGAAAAAAAAGCGTGTGCAACAGGCAAACGGAAAAAACGGATCTAAAAGTCACGACCAAAAAAGATCGGACGGAAAAAAAACTGGAGAAAAAAACCACGTGTGAAAAAGAAAAACAATCGGACGGAACGCGCGCGAGGGAGAAAAACCAGGCCAGCGACGTACCAAATTTTCTTGAAAAAAACATCTTAAACTTTTATAATAGGTAAAGATAAACTAAGGGCCTTTGATTTGCATGAAAAACGTATGAATTTCGAAGAATTTCAATTTTATATGAAAATATTATATAAAGGTATTTGAAAAATCAAAGTATTTTTAGATCGTACCATATCTTTTAAAATTTCTATTAAATGGATAATCCTATAAAGATTTTAAGCAAACTTAACCAGAGCTCTAACCTCTTGAAAAATTTTCTTGAGTCTATCCATCTCATTCGATTTCTGTGTTTTTTCTAAAATCCAATCAAACGGTTATTCTTGTGTGTTTTCTTGTCTTTTACAATAATCTATTTTGCACTTGTATTATCATGTGTTTTTCTATTCATTCATTCATACGATTTAAATGGGCCCTAATGGTACAATAGAATTTAATGCAGGAAGTTGTTCACAATTTTAGAGGAATCCAGTTTGGATTTAGCAAAATCCTGATTTTTGGACCGGGTAAAAAACACAAATCACTCGGTTTTTCGTTAAATTTTTTTAAAAAAAGCGAACTGAATTTTAAATTTTTAACACCGGATTCATCGGTTTTGGTTGTTTATCAACAGATTCGTGGTTCTTAAATTTTTTTTTCTATTTTTTAAAAAATTCACGTGCATCACACTCACTTTTACTTTATAATGTACAGAAGACACAAACACATGTGTGTGCGCTTGAGAGCTGCATGTAAGAAGTTATTATGTGATATTACTGTAACATAGCGAATGTGTATCATCGTGTGCATACTTTTAGATAATATATTTTTTATTTCTTATGGATGAAGATAAAAAATTTCGAGGCACGCTTTTTCAAACTGCTAAACTGTGTGTTTCGTGCGAAAACTTTTTATATGAAAGTTGCTCTAAAATATCATATTAATCTATTTTTCAAGTTTGTAATAATTAAAATTCAATCAATCATACGTTAATACCACCTCGTTTTGTGTAAAAAACTTAACTTTATTTTCAGGAGAAAAGAACACCACTGAAGGTTGCAACCTGCAACTCGGTTGAGCTGGCTAGGGGCTGCACACCTTGTGCAATTGTAGTTTTGGTTGTGTAGTTACGGTAGAGGTGGTATGCAACTGTAACCGTAAGTTATATATCTCTCACAACTCCATCATTGGGACTTTTAAAGTTTTATTTGAATTTCGTAAGATGCAGACTAACCGAGAAGAAAATTATGTGTTCTTAAGGATATCGAATTCATTAATACCAATTGCATATGGTACAATCAAAAAAAATTATACATATTTTTACAATTATATGAAAGACGTATAATTACGCATGCTCAAAGAGCTTGAGAGCTCCATCGTTTACTCATCTTCCCACGGCTTATTAGTGAATCAAATGAATTTATTGGTAAAACTTTTATATATATGTTCTTGATGGTTTAAAAGCCTATGTAAAAAAATACGTTAAAAATATCTTAAAATTAAGTTTAAAAATTTAAATTTTAACTTTTTCTTTGGTTGATTAGGGCATCCAATAGGAGCCGGAGACTAACAACTCCATATAGCCTCACTGAAATTTGTTAAAAGTGCACTTACATGTGAGTAATAGTCATAGAAACCATCGCAACAGGATTTGAACAAGTCGAGCCATGCACTCACAACTTCATCACTATATAATCAGTGTGTTCTTAAATTATATAGTTTTTAATATTGTTTGTTACAAATAAACATAGATCTCTTTCCATTGAGCATGTCTTTCAATTTTAAGTAGCATTTGATAATGCTTGCAAGCTACATTTTACATATACACACACATTGATCGTCTTGGCCCTTTTACTTAAATTGCGATATTAGAGGCTGAATAATTAAAACTTCACATCAAACGTTGGTAGTGCAATATTAAAGAATTGCAAGGAGAATTTCCTTAAAAAAGGAAGAAGCATTGGATAAAGGCCATATCAGTGGGACAATAGTCACGCCATCATCTTTTTTTTATTATAAAGAGTATGAATTCAGATGATGTGCAGCTATCAAACAAACAAGCTGTTTGCCGGAGCCCCTCTGTTTCATATTACAAGTCGTTTTAATTTTTTTTCTAGTCATGTATTAAGTTTATAAAAAAAATTAGCAACATCTAAAATATCAAATTACTTTCATTAAATCTAACATTGAATATATTTGATAATATGTTTGTTTTGTATTAAAAATACTACTATATTTTCTATAAATTTGGTCAACCTTAAATAAGTTTGACTAGTAAAAAAATCAAACGAGTTAGTATAATGTTAGCTAGAGGAGTATCAACCAAACGCCCTCCATTTTGCCGGTGCTAACAACTGCATCAGCATAATTAAATAGCACTAACCAAATTGCCGGCCTCCGGCCCCGTGGGATCCTAAGCTGATGAACAAGTTGTTCTGCCTTGTCATGGCTGCTTGCCAAAAAATTCGCCAATTTGGACATAGTACAATTTATATGTTGAAGAACCCCAACATAAAATAGGAGCTTTATGAATTATGATCTCAAAGGTTTCAAAGATGTTTAACTTCAACATTGAACTTCAAACAAAGCTAGCATGCATAACATGAACTAAGATCTAGCACCTTTATTTTGCTCAAAAATGGCAATGGATTTCTGAAAGATAGTATGTGTAGAAGTACAAGAAGCACTTGACTACAAGGGGAAAAAAACTGACTTTGTATTTCTGATATCTGGCAAGTATTGTTCAACTTGACTCATGTTTCAGTAAATATTTGCAAGTTACAACTTACATGTGCCCTAAGTTACAGATCGATGCTTTTGCGATGCAAATTCAGCACCAAAACAATTAATTATACAGAAGCATCACCGAACATACCTACATAGTTACATCAGTTCTGGCATACCTGGGTTGGGCACTTCATCATGCTTCGTCAATACCACCATATATGTACCGACTCATCTTGATCCTAGTCCTCACTAATATATATGATTATGATACATTCGACCATCTTCCCCAACTTTTCTGGCATACAATATCACTGTATCTTCATTGGCAGCAGCACATTAAAACCCGGTCCATCCAGCTGGTTGGTAGGATGAATCTTGCTTTGCTTCTGCCTTCAGAGCATTGAGAGACTGAGAACCATTACCCAAATTTGACATCTTGGAAGACTGGGAACCATTCCCTAAATTTGACATCTTGGAAGGTAGTGCTCGAGAAGGAGCAGCCTTAAAGCTATCTTGACCGAAGGCAAATGGATCAGCACTAGAGCTTGTGTTTGACTGTCCAAGGGAGCTGGCTTTGTTGCTGTTTGATGCCCGCAGAGTGCGAACTGACCTTGGGTGGGCACCTTTCACAGTCACAGCTGCTTGAGCTTTTGGCTCTTCAGGAAAAGCTGACCATGGCTTCGGATCAGGGCTCGGTGTCCCTGGGCTTGATGTAAATAGACCTTGACGGAGTTCTGGAGGAGTACCTTCAATCTTCTCTCTTGGCTGTGACAATACAGTTCTATATTAGTATAACAGCTTCCTGATATAAATAGATCTGATAATACTAATGTGCTATAAGGAGTATATATGATTCTAGCAGTGATGAGTTAAGCAATGTCAAATGAGAAAACTGGTATATCTGAGGACTTCTCATGTTTTAGTCAGTTAACCAGGAGAAATCAAAAGTAGAGCCATTGATGCGGACTACAGTGAAAAGCATAGTTTACACATGTAGGAGTAAAACCATACCGGAGTATCAAGGCTTGTACTTGGTGGGGAGAGTTCAGCCTTCGAATTTTCTTTGAACTCCTTCACTGACTGCGTAGCAGAAGCTGTAGCTAGGGCTTGTTTAAGTTCTTGAATCTCTCTCCTCTGAGAAGAGCAAATACCAGACAGTTTATCAAATTTCAATGCAATTTCTTCCTTCTCTAAGTTTGCTATCTTCAGTTGTTCCTTGAGTAAAGTTACCTCAGCTTCCAGCTGCTGCTCTTTCAGTCTACGAGTTGCATTTAAACTACTTACATTGTTTTGAAAATTCACTTTGAGATTATCGAAGTCTGCCACAAAGGAGTTAAAATTGGTAGCATGTACATTGGTTTTATTTTCTGATTTTGTTTCTTTGGTCTTCTCTAGCCCATATTCTGAGCCATTAGGAGAAAACCTGATTTCAAAATCCCCAGGAGAACTATCAACTGAGGCAGAGAGAGACTGTCGATATGTATTATGCGTTGGAGTGTTATGGTTCTTCGATTGTAATTGCATTAAGCTGACTTGGTGTACGGTCTCTTGATCAAAAGCTGGCCCCTTGTCATCCACAAAAGCCAGTTCTTGGGCATGCTGAGTTGACCAAAACGCACCCATAGAACCCTTACTCTCAGCAGCCTTTGAAAGACCTTGCGACCTCAAATTGGAAGGATCCTCAGAAGAAGTGCTCCTCGTGTTGTCCGTTGATGGTGAAATAGTTGCTCTGCTTGGTGCTGAAAACATGATTTTTTATTATTAAACAAACATAGAAGATGAAATATTCTTTTTCTTGGCAACAAATGAAATGTTCTCAGTGCAAAGTTGTGACCTAGAGATGAAAGAGCTAAGCAACTACTAGAATCCTTCTGCATTTCACTTTATCTAAGTAGATTAAGTTTCACAACACAACATTTCCTACATATCCTAACCCCTCTATATATGCCTAACAGGGACACAGGAAACCAAGTATAGCAAAATTGTTCCGATAGTTTGATAAAACGAAAATAAAAAAATTATGGAAATAACCTTCATCCTCAGTAATATGCGACTCAAAAGCTGATCCAGATGGAGATCCATCAGGTAAGTCCTTTTGAAGTTCCAACGGAAGTAATTCATTGACACGGAACCACACCTACAATGGTAAATGAAATACAATTAGAGAAACAGAAGACCTTTTACATTTCACTTTTACGGAGCATGAACTAATTAAGACTAACCTAAATTCATGGAAGTGAATGGCCAATCAAGCAAAGCCCTTGCCTGTGTAATGTCTGGTCTGACATCTGGAGAAGATTGAAGCATGTCTTTGATCAGACTTGTAATGGGGGAACTGTACTTTGGTAACTCTGGGATACGATAGTTTCCATTGAGTATCTGGAGCTTTGATTCTCCATCAAATGCTGATTTTAAGTAGCAGATTCTATACAGGAGACATCCAAGAGCCTGCAAAGAATAGCAAGTTAAAAAATCATTAATTAGTAATAAGATACAACTACGTATAATATAATTTGTACCATTCAATCAACTTTCAATTAAAAACATAATATTGATGTACAATTAGTACAGAGAGGATTTACCCATATGTCTACTTTCTCACTGATAACCTCTCTCCGATACAAGTCCCACATCTACAATCAGTAAACATGTTAACAAAAGGTAGATAAGAAGAAATTTCTGAAAAAGAGCTCAAAACAGGTATGTCCAATCTGAACCTCGGGAGCTCTATATGCAGGAGTTGTGTGCTTTCGAATATTATCCTCTTCAATACCCATCTCCTCAGGTTTATCAAAGCACTTATGGTTGGTCGATACACTACCAAAGTCACATAGTTTCCAGGCCCCACCACCACCAAGAAGAATATTTTCAGCCTTTAGGTCCCTGCGAAGAGATTATCTTTGCCATGATGTCTCCAAAACGAAAATCGATTTGCAATCTACTACTAGTAACTAGAGCCATGATTTTTCAGTAGTTTCATGATTTGTCAGTGAACTAGATTTGAATCTAACAGAGCAAGCGTAAACCATAATAAACACCAAAAATGTATCGAGGCATAGAATTGTTTAATGGAAACTATCTGCACAGGGAGGTTGGAACATGTCGGGCGCACCTGTGAGCAATAGGTGGTGTTTGGCAGTGCATTGCAAAGACGGCATTGCAAACATCCCGGAAGATGAGAGCCACCTGCTGTTCATCAAAATGGGCGGCGCCTCTACTCTCCAAGGCCGCGACCAGCGATTTCTCGCAGAACTCCATCACCAGCAGCGCCTCCCTTGCACGGCCACCCGTATCGAGCACGGCGTGCGCGACGAGCGCCACCACATTGGGGTGTCCCTTGAGTGACCTCATCACCATGATCTCCTTCCTGACGAGGTCGAGCGACTCCTCATCCTGGATCACCACATGCTTGAGCGCGTACTGCTTCGCCGGGTTTGCGGCGTCCCTGGCGAGGTAGACGCAGGAGAACCCGCCCTCGGCGACGGGTTCCCGGACGTGCACCCGGACATTGCCGACATCTACGGTCCGGCCCTCGAGCCCGGACGGCTGCTCCCTGGGCATGAACTGCTTCAACCTCCACATGATGGTTTGGTTGACTGAATCCCCACCGACAAAACCCGGCCGCCGCCGTTGACGGACAGCCGCCGCAGCAGACTACGGTCCACGGTTGCGAAGCGATCGAATAGCTTGAACTACTACTAAATCACTATTAGCATAAGAAACTAAACTAAGTATAGGATCGAACAAGAAGCAGTAGAGCATCAACCAGGAGGGAGGCGCCTTGGTCGCGCGGTCAAGCTGGACCGAAGCTCGAGACAAGAAAACGTCTCCTCCTCTTCTTCACCCAGATCTGCCCTAGGAAGCTTAGCTCGGCGCCTCCGTTGCCGAGGAGGCAACGAGACGATCGGGGGATTCAAGAGAATGGATGGATCTTGGTCGGGCAAGAAAGCAAGAACCAATCAGCAATCCGTTGGGAGCTACTGTCCCCCGTGGGATCGGGGATCCAGGTAGCCTTACCGCGGGATCTGGGAGGCCGCGGAGGGTGAGGCAGGCAGCAGGCTGCTGCGGCGGCCGGGAGGAGGGGAAAGGTTTTGGTTGCGGCAGCGGCAGGGGCACGGCGGCGGGGAGGTGAGTGGGGTGGTGGGGGAGGGGGGTTGCTTGTCCAGCTCGGCCTCCGCGTGGCTTGGGGAGAGGGAGACTGGACTGTTTCCCATGTTTGTTTCGGTCGGTTTGGTTGCCATCCCATTCCCACGCGACGAGTCGTGAAATGCGTCAGCCAACGGATTGAGACGGGGATGTGAGTGGCCGAGTGGTTTGCCTACCCTTTTTGCACCTACTCAGCGTTGGCTCTTTGAGATATTAGCCAAATAAATACCCGTGGTTGCAGGTTCAAAATAGCAACAAAAAAAAGATATTGTCTCAGTTGAATACTAGTTGAAACAAGATTTTATTATGTAGTTAGTCTACCGAAGCACATAAGTATAACAAAAAGTAAAAGTACTCCGACATCTCGATCCACATATCGGTGGCGGCAGCAGACTCATCACCATTACTATACAGTAGTATAGATTTATACAGTAGTATAGATTTCAGTATATGGTGAAGTACGATAAAACTTGGAATACAAGAGAGAAGGGGTGGTGATAAAGTGAAGAATGTTGGTGGGGTGATGAACAAAATATTTATGTGTGTTCTAGAGCTCTAGGGCCCCTTTGAATCACAGGAATGGAAAAACGGAGGAATAGGAAAAACATAGGATTCTGATAGGAATGTAAAACAGAGGATTGCAAAACACAAGAAAAACGTAGGAATGATCGTTTGATTGGACCACAGGAAAAACACAGGAATTTGAGGAGAGATAAAGACTCAAAGGATTTTTTCCATGAGGTTCTACTTCTTGTTAAAATTTCTCTAAAACTTGTATAGGAAGAGGCATTCCATAGGAATTTCATAGGATTCCATGGGGTTCATTCCTTTGATTCAAAGGGCTTTGTAGGAAAATTTTCTATAGGAATGAAATCCTCTAAAATTCCTATGAATTTTCTTTGAATCAAAGGGGGCCTTAGTCCTTCTGTGAAGGCATTCAAGCAAGCCAGTCCTTGCTATCAATGCAACCTTCTTAACTGAGAAATACAATGGCGCCTTGATGACTGCACTATCGACTGATGCAGAGAGCCGACTTTTACCATTAGCTTTTGCCTTGGTGGAGAAGGAGAACTCGTGAGCTAGTGCTTGTTTATTGAGCTTGTCATACGGGTTGTGATTGGGTGATACACATAAGTTTGTATTATCTTTGATCGTCACCCTGGTACAATGAACGCCATGAGAACACTGATTCTAGGATTGCTAGTTGGTCACCACCGATGGTGCATGAGACATCAAGGTTGTTAGTATTCCGATTCGTATTTTAGTATCTTCCGATGCTATGATCATATCAAACCGAAACGATACCAATCCCACATAATATCCTAATTTTCATAGTATCTCGATCTTACAATTTAGTTTTACATGATCCTACTAAATCTTATGTTGTATTCCGATTCTATGATCCCTATGATCCTATAAAATATTATTTAAAGGAACTTGCTATGCATATGATCTAACTGTCGAACTCACGTCCAACTGAATTTGATCAACGATTGCAATGTGTATGAGCATGCTCTCCTTTGATTGATCTATGGTTGCATGTCTCTAGTTGTATATGAGTTGTACAACTAGGTTGTACGTATAGCAGTACTCTCAAAATAAGGTGGATTGAAAATAATATGAATAAATATGCTCAAATTTACATAAAAACAATTAAATTTATCAAAATCAATATTATGTGTTTAATTTATACAATATATTATATATTTTATATAAAAATATGTAATTTTAAAATCTAATAGTATCTCGATTCTATGATACTACAAATCAAAAAATGATCCTACCTAGTATCGAAATGCTGATAACCTTGTTAGAACAATGCTAATTTTCATAAGGCCAACGCCGATCAGGGTCAAACGAAAGAACTGCAAAGGATATGTCAGATTGATGAGAAGTAGATATTTGAGAGGGATGTCAAGAAACTTAGACTGACGGTAACCGAAATGTCTTGTACATGGCTTGAAGACTTGTTGCCGGACAAAGACAAAGTCTTGTGCATATGATACAAATGGACGCCGATGGGGTTATATGACAACCAACATGGCCGAGTAGTTCAACAGTGTGCTAGTCAGTGTTCGGAAGCTACCAGCGACTGCCGTAGTAGCCTTTATCTTCCTCAAGTGTAATGAGTTCTTTGTGAACAGATATAATAAAGCAATAAAACGCCTTGAGTTAGGGGAAAGATAGTCTGAGAAGGTCGCTAGTGAGATCAAGACGCAAAACACCAAGGCAAATAGGCACACTTCAAATTGCTTTGATGAGCATACTAAGATATGCGAGGTTATTGAGAGGGGTGGTATAACACATGGCGGTGTTAGGTATGGTGCAAGATTGTTTGAAAGTAGAAGGTGAGAGGAACACATGTACTTTCCAAATGTCGTTATTGTACCATATGTCGTGTTCACATCTTCGTTTGTCGAGTCCATGCAGTCGACTCAGAAGCTCCTAATCATAAATTGCACGAGTTCTTATCCCGAGAGGTTGTAAACACATGGGCTAGTCACTTTGAGCCATATAGACTCCACACAGTGGGCACTATATGATGGTTTGCGGATTCAGAATTGGAGGTTAAACTAGGGGGAAGAGAAGATTGAAGCGCTTCAAAAAGGAAATGGACTCGGGCTAGGTAGTTCAAGAAGGACACCTCCTTCTTAAGTTCTCCAAGTAGATGCCGTACTAGTGAAAAATAGGTGCTTGCTATGCTTATTTTGCTATAAAAATTGCACAATATATATACTTCTATAAAAAGATCTAGTTTGCTCACTAGGGGAAGAGGAATAAAAATAACTAGGGGTTGGGGAATAAAAATAAATCAGCATTGTATGATCTTTTCTCTTTCCTAACTAGCTAGATCTACAAATTTGACATGGGAAAAATACATATTTTTCTCTCTCTTCTATCTAGATCTACAAATTTAAAGTAGACAAAATACCAATTTTACATATAAAAGCACCACATTTAACCACTAAGTGATGAGTAGACAACATAGATCAATCATATTTAAAGCATAGAAAAGCATGAGAAGTAAAAAGAAAGATGTATCAACATACGTAGATTAGATCCATCACGACTAAGGGGTAGAATAACTTGTTCTATTGGTAATAGAAGTCATAAATCAACACAACGGTTAATATCACTTCTACTGGTACCATATGCTGAGAGCAAGTTTAATAGTATAGCCAACTATTAGCTTCAAATCATCTATAGTCAATTTAATAGCTAATTCATACAATAGTTACCTATAAGCATATAGTACAATATTAATACCTGGTCCCACCTGTCATACATACATTGTATCTTAGAGTTCGTGTTGCAGCTGGCTACAAATCTGCAGCCCGCTGCCCATCTCTCGTCATTTATCTCCTCGAAATATGTTTATAGCTGTAGCAGGTACAATAGTAGACTATAAGCCAGCTATAAACATATTTTGATGAGATAAAAGAAGAAAGGGAATAGCGACTATAAGACACAATGTATATATGGCATGTGGGACCATGTAATAATAATGCAGTATATGTTTATAGATAATTATCATATGCGTTGGCTATTAAGTTGACTATAAATGATTTGGAGTTAGTAGTTGGGCAACATATCCTAGGCACACAGGCCCTCACGTGTACACACGTGCACACCAACTAAAAAATATCACCAAAAAATCTAGAAAAAATCATACACATACTTTCAATTGTATTACACCTAGGGTTAAAATCTTAACGTCAAATTCATTATATTTTAGCCGTAACAAAAAAAACAAAAAATCTGACAGTTTTAAGATTGCAATTTTGTCGGAATTTTATCTTTTTTGTTATTCTCTATGTAGAATGAATTTGAAGATGCGACTTTGCACGTAGATGTAATACTATTGAAAGTACATGTATGAATTTTCCTAAAATTTTTTGTGATAATTTTTAGTTGATGTATACGGTGTGTACATGCGAGGGCCTGTGTGCATAGGATACACTCCCTAGTAGTTGGCTATACTATTAAACTTGCTCATGGTGCCATTTCGCCCCGCTTTGGGTGAAGTAATGACCTGCCTAGATTGGCAGCTAATAACTGCTTGACCAACTTTTTGCTCAGGATCTTGCTGATTTCTAGGTTGCTGTGTTATATGTACATCTTTATGGTGAAACTGACAGGGAATAATAATACAATGATTTGTGAACTTCCAAAGCTCTGTTCCAAGATTTGCCTCAAAAGATGCAAAAAGCAAAGTCGCCGAATGTCTAGGAAGGGGATCAAGATGGTGCAAGAAAAGTTGCGTAGTAAAATCTGACATATCAGAACAGTTAAGCAGAAGCATATATAGAACATTGCAGGAATGAACAAATTGACAGCAATAGAAAATGTCTCAATTTCAGAAATGTAAATTGATCTGGAAAGATGATTGAGTAACCTGATGGTTCATTAGCTAATTCCTGGGAGAGAAAAAAAAAGTTACATGAACATTCATGGACTAAGAAGAACCCTTAATCCTGAACTTAAAAACCAAGAAAGTGAACAAAAACAAGGACTCTTCAGGGGAGGAAATTAAATTAAAATCCTAGTGATCAGTGATCGATCTCCACCAGCAACCACTGAATTCATGAGCTCTTACAAGTTAAACCATGACTAATTAGCTACTCCCACATGAACAAAATGTGAACAAAAGAATTAATCACTAATCAAAATCAAATTAAACCACCAAAAGAATTAATCTGATCGAGCTGTGCCTACAAGCTCCTGGCTAGCATCTCATGGAACCTCCTGTAGGACTCCTGCTTTTCCAGAATAAACCTCTCATGGCACCTTTCTATGAACTTGTCTGCGAGCCTGTCGATCTCGTTCTTCTCATCCTCCTCCTCCTCACCCTGATCGTCGTCTTCCTCGGCCTCCTGCTCAGGCCAGCTGAGGTAGCCGGTGATCGGCCGCAGCAGCTGCTCCTCCGCGGGGATCATGGTGTTCCACGACGAGTCGTAGTAGGCCAGCTCGGCGTCGAACGGCTCAACGCCGCCGCCGGCGATCTCTGACGGCGGCGGCACGGCGACGGCGGCCGGAAGCAGTAGCTTGAGCTGCATTGTCATCATGGCATCGCCGCCGCTGCCGCGGCACCGTGGTTTCTTGGTGTTCCTCCCCCTCCTCCTCCTGATCTTGTTCCTCAGCCCGGCAATGCTGCCCCGGGCGGCAATGGTGAGGAGCAGCGCCTTTGCGCCGCCGAGAGCGGCGGCGAGGCGGCCGCCGTGCTTGAGGACGAAGGCGTGGAGGAGGTGCTTGATCTTGACGAGCTTGAGCTCACCGGAGTGAGGAGGAGGAAGTAGGTGACCCATGGAGACATGCACCTACTAGCATTGGTGAATTGAGTTTGCTTGTCTAGTGGTTTAGCTTAGCTATAGCTCCTCATATGTATACGTGGCTCTAGCTGGGAAGTGGGCCCCACCGACAAAGGCTCAACTCATTGGTTTAGCAGAAAAGTTTGTTGTCAGTTTCATCAATTCTTGAAGGGGGTAGAGGTAAGTAACTAGTAAGTGCAAGATTTATACTTTTGTTTGAATTTGACAGGGTTTTTGGGACATTTAGAGCTGTTGATTATTGATATCCTTCTGAATTTGTGCTTTTCATTGTTTGATATGGTAATAGGTGATGATCCAATGAGAACATGCAAAATCAACTTACTAGTAATAAGGGATGTGTGATTTGTGTGTCATGCCATCCAGGTGCTGAAACTACCCTGTTCATGAGTTCTCTGATGGTTGTTTCACTTGTTTCTTTTATATTTGAATTAATTTGTAATATAAATCATCAGGTGATAAAAAAAAAGAGAAGATATGCCACTGTATCATTTCCCCCTTGTGAATCTTTTAATTTTCTTTTCCTTGTGTTCCTCACTTCTCAACTGCTTTCACTTTCTACAAAATCTGAAGATTCCGTTCTTCTGAATGAACCAAAGAGTTTACTCACTGCCTTTAACATAAAAAAAAGGAACAAAAGAAGATCACAGGGACAATGGGGTCCCTAATGGATCAACTCACAGCCAATTCCTCTTGACCAACAAACCAGGATTAGATTTGATTGCAAAAAGAAGCAGCCAAATAGTTTCGCTCGTGCAGTGGATTTTGTTATAGACGCGCAGTATGGTTGTATTTTCTTTTTCTGGTCTGTGGTCTTCCAGGACTATAGATTGTATTTTTCTCCTGCTTTATCAATATATGAAACTCGCACTGTATTGTGCAGTTCGTTTAAAAAAAAAGAAGCAGCCAAATGTTAACCTGTTCATGTGTAGATGCTTTGCCATTGTGTTCAACCTGAAACTTCAGGCGTTGCAAGTGTTCTAGTGCAGTCATGCTTGTCTCTTCTGCACAAAAGAAATGAAATCTCCTGTGCGAATTCTGCCAAGGCTACGGGCATGAAGATGATCGTTTCTTTAGAAATTTGTCAAGTTAGGTGTTGCTTGTGAATCTTTGTTTTCCTTGTAGAGGTGCAAGGGGTTGACAAGTGAACCTACTTATAGGCTAATTAAGTGGATTAACCCACATGTTGTCCAATTATATGATCTATAAATGAATTGAGGTTTCGTTCAAAAAAAAATAAATGAATTGAGGTTAACCCACTTACACCATTATCTCCCTGACACTAGCTGCCAGCACACTTCAGGAGTGATGGACAAGGTAATTAAGGATCTGTTTACGAGAGCTTCTAGCAATTGCAGAGAAATTCAGAAAATAAATTAGAAAGTCAGATGTTGGGTTTAACAACTTCTTTAGATTCTCAGAAGCAGACTACTAACCAATAGATTCTCAGTTAAACTCTCTTGAACAGGGCTTTAATCGGCACTATAATAAGAGCTAGATCTACGACCTAACTTTATTGGTAGTTTGGTACCAACCACTAGTGCATAGTAGTGACCACTTCCATACGCATTCTTCATTATTTTTTAGCTTTTCTGAAGGATGTAATACATACATCATAAGAGCTTTATTCCTCTGCAATGTACTGGCCTGGTTTCTTCCTTTTGCAGTCAACAATATTGCACCAAAAGTGGCCAGGCATAGGCTGTGTTTAGATCCTTGGATGAAAAGTTTGAGCGTGTCACATCAGATATACGGACACACATTTAAAGTATTAAATATAGACTAATAACAAAACAAATTACAGATTTTGCCTGTAAACTGCGAGACGAATTTATTAAACCTAATTAATCTGTCATTAGCAAATGTTTACTGTAGCACCACATTATCAAATCATGGAGTAAATAAGGTTAAAAGATTCGTCTCGCAATTTACACGCAATCTGTGCAATTAGTTTTTTGTTTTTTCTATATTTAATACTCCATACATATGTTCAAACATTCGATGTGACAGGATAAAAAGTTTTTGCATGGCCATAGTATATAGAGCAGAAATTGTACTCCCTCCGTTTTAAGTTATAAGACTTTATAGTATTACCCACATTTATATAGATGTTAATGAATCCAGGTACACATGTATGTCTAGATTTATTTACTCTCTCCATTCCAAAATATAAGGCATAACTACCCTTGACCCAAAGAACAAGAAACAATTATTATCACCTCTTTGTTTGAATCAATCCAACTAATACAATACATGCTCCCAATAGAATTAAACATCTTGTGAGTGAATGATTTAAAAAAATAATAATTTAGAAGAGAAGAGATGCTAATTAATTACCATGCATGCATGCACGCCTTATATTATGAAACACCTTTAAAAAGTAGTTGTGCCCTATATTTTGGAATGGAGAGAGTATATAAATGTAGACAATACTATAAAGTCTTATAATATAAAACGGAGGAAGTATCTCATTATGAATTCTTTCTTTCAGAAAAATAATAAGGTCGCCTTTGAGCTTTTCTCTCTTTTTTTCGTTGAGCAAAAACGCCGCCTTCCAGCTTACGCAAGGTAACATTAAATTGTACTAGTTGGAGAATGGAGATGCGCCCACACAGTGGAAGGGTAAAGGAAGTCCGAGGTTCAGGCGAGACGGTGGCTTAAAAAGGTGTCAGAGTATTGAATTGCGTAAAATTTTAGTAAATCATGTCAAATACTCCACAATGTAAATGAGCAATTTTATTAAAGTAAAAAAAAAAGACCATTCCACCGAAAACTTGTAGCAATTCTCTGCTATCTCTTTCTTTACTCATTTGTATGTTCGTCTAAAAATTCTCCATTGTATTCCCCAAGACTGGATTTTTCATCTTTTAGTCATTTAAAAAAAACTTATTCTACAAATAAATTCTTAAAAAAATTTATTCTATAAATAGACCCTTTTTGTAGCGCCAACGTCATTGATATTGTGGTCCAATATGACGGCACCAATAACATTGCCGCCAATCCCCTCGCCCTCAGGTGAAAACTAAGCCACTAATGTGAAAGGGATGGCGTCACATTGACACCGAGGACCTATTCCTATCTGTAATCTCCATGCCAACGATGTTGTCACTAAGGATTTATTTGAAATTTTTTATTACAACTAGGTCCTTTTTTATTACAAGTAGGTCCTTTTTTTTAAAAAATAAAAGTTGGTCCTTGATGCCAACGTCGTTCGCGCTGTCATGTTAGACCACGGCACCAATGATGTGTTGGCGTCACGAAATGATCATTTTCTGAATATGTTTTTTAGGAGTTTATTTGTATAATAAGTTTTCTAAATGAATCAAAATGTGAAAATAGAAAAAAAAAAAGCACATTCTGGAGGTCCTACATCCATGAAAATAATCATTTTCAGAATATGTTTTTTTATGTCTATTTCCGAAGGCATGGACTACCTCACCAGCGTTTTCGACTGGTGACTTAGCTATAAGGCATGATGTAGATAAAATTTACATGGATTTGGATTTGGACGGTATTCATTACAAATCCATGGATTTGGATTTATGATTACGGGCCTGTTTGGTACAGTTCCAACTTCTAAATATAACTTCAGGAGTTGAGTCTGGAGTGGAGTTGTGGAGTTGCCTAAACCCAGCTCCACAACTCTAGTACATTTTGTGAGAGAGCTCTACCCAACTCCACTCCCAGTTTTAGTGAAGCTGAAACTGTTTGGCTGAGCTCCAGCTCCAGGAGGGGTGGAGCTGGAGCTGTGCCAAACAGACCCTACGTTGATAAAATTTAGATGAACCCTTTTTTTTCCGTTTTAGTTGAAATATAAATTTTTAAACCGCTGTAGACTTCAAGATAGCTGTGCCAAACAAGGCATGAAAAGTGAGTAGCCCAATGTGCAAATCTTCGGCTCCCTCCGTCGTAAAATATAACAAATTTTAGCTCTCAGAATTTGTCCTAAAATATAACAACATCTGTACTAACATTTTCTTCCCAACCAATCACAAACCTCCACCATTCACTTTTCCCACCTACCTCCACTACTCATCCAATCACAACTCTCCACCACTCACTTATTCATAATTTCTTAATAACCGTGTCCAACTCTAAAACTTCTTATATTCTTGGACGGAGGGAATAGCTGTTAGTTCATTAAGATTATATGGCGACAAATTTTCAAAATATAGCTAATCTGTAGGATGCAAGTGGGGCGCTTGTTTATCACTAATATTCACTATTATTCTTGTTAACTTTTTTCCTAACAAGCAAAAATAGCATGTTTTTATGTAGGTAGTGAGATTACCCACTATCTGAATTGTTTGAGATAAGCAGTACTACACGTACTAAATTTTTATTAATATTCATCTCAACTGTTTGATTTAGGTATATGGAAGTTATAAAAAATCTAGATGCAATCGTATTACGACACATCAGTGTTAGTATTTTACTAAGGAATCTTATAGCCTTTTCCGTTTGAGATATTCTGAAAATGCTGGGGATCGGGCGTCCGATCCAGTGGAAAAAAAACCAGGCGCCCCTCCCCCACCCCCACGCACGCCTTCGCCTGCCTCCCACGCGTCCCCACCACTTGCGCCCCGTTACAACAAATTACCCACATATTATGGAAACGCTCTATTAAGGGAATCCGTTTCAATTTTTATTCCACCAATAATGTTTCATCAAGTGTACTCGTAATGTTTCGTTATGTATAGATCAAATGTTGCAGTGAATTGAAACATCCTTTCGCTATTTGCTGAAATATTGTTTTATATATGGTGAAATAACACACAATTTTTTTGAAACAATTTGTTTCATATGTTCTAGCAAAATGTTCCATGAAGTGATTTGGTTGTGTTTCAGTTTTTTTAAATGATTGAAACATTTTCAATATAAGAAACAATTCCGATCTACTTGTTGGAACAACACCCAATTTTCTTTTAAAAAAAGTTGAGTGCCCGATTTATAGGCGCCGGAGATTTTCTGAAAGAAAATAAGGCTGCTACAGCTGGAAAAGCACCCGAAATAGCCTTTGTTTCAGCCGGGCCGTAGTCGGATTTAGGCCGGGGATACGGGCCCGTATATAAAGCCCGTACCGCACCCACCACGCACCATCGGCCCAAGAATATTCGGCCTCGATCCGACTCGTCGATCTCCCCGTCACCCTCGGCCTCCCCGACTTCTCCCGCCGCCTCCGCCTGCGCCGATCTCCCCGCCGCCGCATCATCATCGCCGGTGAGCACCCCCCGTGCGCGCCTCCTCCCCCTCCTCCACCTTCTTCTTTCTAGATCCGGATGCCTTTCTCTTCGCCTTAACACCAATTGCGATTTGTTTCCACAATTTTTTTTGGGCCACCAACGCGCGTTAGGTTCCGCATCTGTTTCAGCAATTTCTGTGTGCAATGTGGCAATGTCTGCCCTGCCTGCCGCGCTGAAATTTGCTCGATCGGTTGCTTGTTTGTGGATCGTTTCACCGTAGGTGCTCGCACGGGGTTGATGCAATTTGCGGCCATATTTGCATGAACCATGAGCGCAGGATGCGATCACGCGATTGCGCTCTATTTGGTTTGTTCTGCGCTGTCGCGAATAGCAAGTACATATCAGGACTAGACGCGTTTGATCGGCCAATGGCATCCCATCCTTATTTGTCATGTGGAATTAGATTGTTCTTCATTGGCCCTCATGCTTGATGTTCACATGTAGTTCTCATAGATCATATGCTGTTTCTGTATATTTTTTCCCCTTTTTGTATTCAAGCATCTGAAGTACCATGCTATTCTAAAATAAGCTGGATGATCATCTGCTGGAGCCTATGACATCACTTTTTGTTAGTAGTTTTTTTTTTTAATTTCTGGAGAATTTATCTATTAGTCAATCAACTTACCTTATATGCAAAAGCGCACAAGCCTAACTTTTAATAGAATCAGGCAACATTACAACTAGTATCATTTTGTGTACTAGCTGATTTGTCCGTGCGTTGCCATGAAATCAAAGGTTAGACTGAGATTGGGGATTGAGAGCATTTGAATTAGGGAGCAAGAGTTTCACCCAACATTGTGGGGCCCACATGTCAGTGTGAGGGACCACTACAAACATTTAAAGTAGTATATAAAAGGTCTATAGTTGGTTTATGGCGTCAATCATTTAACAGTTACTTTTAAACGCGGAACTGAAAGATCATTGTACACACCAGCATTACCTGTAAACTTTAAACCATGATTACTGAATTATTGATATGTTCATGTTCTGTGTACTGGAAAGGACCATTTCTGAACAATTTGTGTTTGTGAACACATGGTATGCATGTTGTTATGTGTTTAGGTGCTAGAACTTATATTTATTTCGATGAAATATACACAGCAGTCACACGATCTGACTCAGATAACTGACACGCTGCTCTCAATCGCCTTTTGCTTACTCCCTGAGAACCTTTCATAAGCTTAGTGGTATTCTCAAACCCATAGTATCATATAAAGAAATCGTCATTTAACATATCGTTGAAGGCATTAACATATGTCATTGAATTTGTCCTTGAACCGGATGATTCCTAAAGCCACATTACTGCACAAAAAGTAATACTGAAATCATGTTCTGCAAGTTCATAGTGCTTTTGGTTGTCGTTGTAGTTTTGTAAGATTTATGCTTTGCCAACCTTTTTAATGCATTTTTGGGTGTTTATATGTTGTAATGTCTGTTCATTACTGTATATTTCTTAATTTAATGCTATTCTGACTCCTTGCACCTCTATTGGATTTTTTTGGTCACTTTCTGGTTGATAGGGAACATGGAGTTGTCCAATTTGAGAAATTCGGGACTTGATGAAGTTGTCATGAAAACGGGCCAGGCTGCAGGCATTGGTTTAGCTTCTGGCACTGTGTGGGGTGGGGTGGTTGCTATGCATTTCAATGGACCTCACGTTGGCAGTAATGTCAAGTATCCTGAACTGGTTAGAATTGGCAAGGTCTCTGGAAATTATGCAGCAAGCTTTGCACTTCTTGGAGCTACATATGTAGGCATCGAGCAGTCCCTTGAAAATTGCAGGAAGAAGGACTACATTAATGGTGCTGTAGCTGGTTTTACCGCTGGTGCAACTGTCCTGGGTTTCAGAGGTAAACATATTCAACTTAGTTGAATTTCTATACCTGACTTGAATTGAAAAAAGTTCAAAGTCAGCTGTCCAAACATCCTTATCGAAATTGTTTTATGTTGTTTGATTGAATGTTTCTACAGCCAAATCTAACATGAACAAATGCCTTCCATGTTATCCTTGTAAACTGTATTGATCTTCCCTATCTAGTAGTATGCCACATTTATATGAACTGATATTGGTGCATGTTATGCTGTTTCTACTGTGCTAGTTTCTGATTACGTATTCCTTATAATTTAATTGACACTATCACAACTGGAGCACACATATTTCGTGTGCCCCAGCAGTAGAAATAAGCACACAGCCAAAACTATAGCTTAGAGGAATTTATTTGTACACCCAGTTATTTAGTAATCAGCTCAGAACCTTTATGTATCATGCTGAATTATATCTGTGGTTGTTTTGCACATGCCCAAAACCTAAGATTAAACACAGCAAGAGAAGCGCAATGTCAAAATGCATGATAGAAATGTTGTGAGGTCAGAACTCAGAAGTTACCCATATGATGTAAATTAAACCCAACAAAATTTCATCATGAATCATTAAAGCAATTTTCCTGTTAATACCGATGTAGTTACCGGGCCTTAAGCGTCATAGAACATCATCATCTCTTTCTTTTACCTGTTACTATTCCTTTATTATGATTCTAATTTATGGTCATTGGATCATTTTTGTTCGTGAATGACTATCTTGTGCAATGAATTGGATATATTATTGCCAAATTAACAATTATCAACCTTGTGTGCACAGCGAGGAGTCTCCCAACAGCTGTCCTCTCAGGCTGTGCGATCGCTTTGACTTCTGTACTGCTGGATGTGACTGGGATGAAAACTACTGATGAGGAAGCAAAAACAGGAAAAGCGCATCACTAGTCATGCAATTAAGTAAAAGAGCTGTATCTGCAAGTTTACAAACGCTGTTCAGAGAATTACCTTGCTAATTCCAGAGATGCTAATAGCCGCTTGCATGACAAGAGTAGTTTCTTTTCTATCCTATAATCACACTAAACTAGTTTGTTCATATTACAGACAGTAGGGTATATATACACAATGTAGTGGTCTGTTCTAACCACACTCTTGCAAAGGCACTTTTGGCATTTTTCCGTCTGCATCCGGAAAATTGTGAAGTTCAAAGTGTAAATGGAACTGGTACTCAGTTGCTCAAATAGACAAATACAATCATGCACGAAATGTGCCTCATCATTTTGCACAAGTGGTGGATGTTTACTTTTACCGGTGTTACCCGGAGGATTATGTTGATTGTTGACTGTTGGATCTTGCCCTTTGTGTGGGCTTTTCCAGTTTGTGTTTACTATCTATTAATGGGGATTGGGGATGGATTGTGTTGAGCTGGAAACTGCTAGCTGGTTAATACATTTTGCATGTTCTATTGCATCCTTGAAAGCTATGTGCTTTTTTGCCCGAAACAACTGGAGATTGATCTTGATTCCACAGAGCTCCAATTGACTGTTCCTTGATGCTCATACCATCTTTGTTTTCTTGTATTTTAACCCCCGAAAAAATGATTATGCCATGTTGGCAACCAAGCCAGTGCTGTTCTTCAGTTTTTATGTGAAATTTGAACCAAACAAATCCTGCATGCTGAATTGGGTGCCTCCTTCAGCACAAATGTCCAAGATTTTGTTGACTGTTGTTGGCTCTTGCCTTTTGTGTGAGCTATATTCCAGTTTGTGTAATTGTGTTGCCATCTATTAATGGGGATGTGTTGTGGTGAGCTGGAAAGTGCAAACTGGTTAATACATTTCGCATGTTCTATTGCATCCTTTGAAGGCGATGTGCTTTTTTGTTTTACAGAAACAACTGGAGATTGTTCCTGATTCCAGCCAATTGACTGTGTTCCTTGATGATTATACCACTTCACCTTTGTTTTTTTTTAATTGTAACAAAAAGGAAAATGATTGTCATGTTGACAAGCTATTGCTGTTCTTCAGTTTGAAGTGAAATTTTGGTTCATTCAACCAAACAAACTCTACATGCTGAATTTGGTGGCCCTCCATCAGAAATGGTCAATAGAATCAGCATAAAACAAAAGGCATAGAAAAAGCCATATTCTCTGCCTCCTGGGCCCCACACTCTGCCTCCCTCTCTTCCTTCTCCACCATGGATCCGACGTGGCACAACCACATTGGTCCCTCGGATTTCCCTCCTCTCTTCTTGCAGCAAATCCATTGCTGTGCTGTGCAGCCCTGCTGCTCTCTTCTCCCCCTACTCCAAAAACTTCACAAAATCACCCCAAAAAAGATCCATTCTCGGAGCACAAAAGAATCTTTTGCAAATTTGTATCAAACAAAAATGGCAGTTCTTGGTCTATCCACTGCCTTCTCTCCTCCCAGGTCAGCAAAAAATTCCTCTGCCTTCACTTGTTCTGATTTCTGAACAAGAATTTATCCATCCATGCATCATATAATCTATGAAAAATTCTCATGATTCGTTTGTTCTGAACACGAATTTATCCATCCATTGCATCATATCTAACTATCTGTTTTGTCTTTTTCAGAGGTTCTTGTATAGCTGTGAGGATCAGGCATGGCGCTAGGTCAGCAAGGAGCAACCTGTCCCTGAGGAGGAGGAGCGCCGGCGGCGGCGCCATTGGCGTCCGTGCCGAGGTGAGCTTCGTCGACGGCGACGAGGCGAAGCGGCTGGTGGCGGAGGAGGGGTACACGGTGCTGGACATCCGGGACCGGACGCAGCGCGAGAGGGCGCACATCAAGAACTCAGCGCATGTGCCCCTCTTCGTCGAGAACGACGACGGCGACATTGGTAATACTAATACACCACTGCTCTCTCTCTCTCTCAGTTCAGTTCTAGTTTTTTATTTTTTTTTATTTTAAAAGGCCGAACTATGTAGATTCTGACAAATAAAGCAGTCAGATTAAAGGTTAAATTTACTGTATGATTATTGCACCCAATAGACCAGTACTTCAAAAATATTTCACAAAATGGTTTTATCGCTATTAAGAAGATGTTTATGAAAACTGATGGTCAAAGTTTAATATCATTATGATTGTCACATAAATAAAATGATTGGCACAGTGATAAGAGCCTTTTTTATCGCTATTAAGATGTGACTTCTCTAAAATAAAATACTTCCTTGTTTTCAAATAAAAGCATTTCAAGAATTCAGCCAATCGGATGCTTAGAAGCTCCTGGACATCCTAGAAACTTATTATATTTCAGAACGAAAGTACGTTATAGAACCAACGAAGGTAGTATTATATATGCACTAGAAATTATTATTACAATTTTCTCTTAAAAAATAAATACTTTATGTCGGAATCAATCACAATATATTGATCCATTTTTATTTAGATGACGTTGAGTAAATTTCATAAAAGCCCAAGTATTAGGAAGACACACATAACATAAAACTCTAACCCTAGTTATTGTGGTTTGTTTCAAGGAGTCCCATGTTTTGGGGCAAAAAGTTTCAAAAAAAACCCTATACTTATGTAAAATACATATATTTCATTATTACGTATGATTATTTTTTTTCATAAATTCACATTAGTTAACTCAAATACACATTCCTCTCACCTAGTTTATTTTTTCTTAATTTTTCACTGCAAAAAAACTCAACATAACCCTAATTGATGATGACATAATAATTGGCTAAATATACACATAAATGATCATACCAAGATGATAAGCGATTGTTGAAAAGCAGTTAACGCGTATATGTACTAAGAAATATCTCATATTATTTTATAGTTATTATAGATAAATATATTAGTCAAATAGATGATATAAGCTTATAGTTGGGGTTTTATGAAATATTTTGCCCCAAAACCCGAGGTTTCACGAAACATTACAAAAACTAGGGTTTTGTGTTGCGAATGCTCAAAAACATGGGGTTTTATGAAATTTGCTAAGAAAAAAAAGGGAGTTAGTAGATCCTTAAACTTGCTGGCCATTTTGGTTTTTCTTCTAGGAACTATTATAAAGCGCACGGTACACAGCAACTTCGCCGGCCTGTTCTTCGGGCTACCATTCACCAAACGGAACCTAGAGTTCACCAAGATGGTCAAGGATAAGTTCTCGCCGGAGAGCAAGCTGCTGGTGGTCTGTCAAGAAGGGCTCAGGTTGGTGAACAGTGCAGTAGTCGACTTTTGTCATGCCTTTTCTGTATTAGCAGTTTCTTCAGAACAAACTTTAGGTGTGTTTACTTAAATTCAGTTAGTCTTCATATGGCAACAACAATGCAAATATTTATATTACTATTATAAGACAATAGTGGTGATGATGAATCTGCCACCAGCTCCATCACTAACATGTGCGCCATGAATGTCATGTTTACTCTTTGCATTATACTCTCTAGGCTGCAACTTTTTAAAATTTCTAAACATGGTATTTTTCTTTTTTTAAGATAAAAGATCTTGTTTCAATCAAATAAAAATATTTTTTCCAACTAGTACTTATTTTTGTTATTTTCAATAACCCGTTACAACACACTGGCATTTGGCTTGGAACTTAGGAAAAACATAATGTCACACACCAGTTTCAGCAGTTTATTGGCCTTACCCTTCTTTTAACTATATGTTGAAGGTCCACGGGAGCTGCTGATGTATTGGAGAGAGAAGGCTTCCAAAATCTGGCATGCATCAAATCAGGGCTTCAGACACTGAAGCCAGGTACAACCAATTTAAAATTCTTTATGTAATTAATAGAGTATTAATTGTTCATGCAAAGTGTTCCATATTATGACATAATGGCCGTGTTTAGTTGTTTGGCCAAATTTTTTTTGGCATATACATACACACATTTAAAGTATTAAACGTAGACTAATAATAAAACAAATTACAGATTTTGCCTGTAAACTGCGAGACGGATTTATTATGCATAATTAATCCGTTATTAGTAAATATTTATTGTAGCACCACATTATCAAATTATGGCGTAATTAGGCTCAAAAGATTCGTTTCGCAAACTGTGCAATTGGTTTTTTTCGTCCACATTTAATGCTCCATGCATGTGTCCAAATATTTGATGTGACGGAATTTTTAAAAGTTTGAAGGGAACTAAACACAGCAAATGTTTTGCGTGTCGTAGGAACATTTGAATCTGTTGGCAAAAGTGAGCTGCAAAACGCAGGGAAAGCAGGACTTGTGACGGTGCAAGGGAAGATTTCCGCTGTTCTTGGAACTGTGTTGATAAGTAAGATGACTGGAACTATTTTTATCTGAGATAAGTACGTCATGATCATAAACTTGTCTTATGCGAGTTTCATCTACAGGTGCCTACCTTTTCATCACATTGTTCCCTGACCAGGCTGAAAAGCTTTTTGACTTGGCTGGAATCAAATTGTGATCAGAATTGTATCTCTTTTCATGCATTTTGGTTCTCCTCTTGGGGATTCATGTTCCCATTGCAAGGTATGGGATTCTTCATGATTTCAAGCTCAATGTGTGCGTGCGATTTTTACTATTCTGCATATCTAGGGATTAGGGATGCCTTTGTGCCCAGATCAAAGATGTTATAATGACTACTGATGAATCGGTTTGCAGCTTTCTCTCTTTATAATCAAAGAGGTTATAAAATTACTTTCTTTTTGAGAAAAAAAAACATGTTACTATTTGATACATTTATGACATTTTCTGCTCTAATTCAACTACTGAACCGAACAGTACATGGTTATAGCATTTCGTTTGACAGCAACAATGAAAATGCCTTATAACATATTGCAATTGCGAATCATAAAATTTCAGATTTTTTTTCGCTGATCTTTATCTTCACTGATAAATTTAAGATCAACTATGCATATCCATCGATATGAAACATAATAAGATAAATGAATTGATATTGAATGAACTTAATATTTCAACTAGCAAGCCAGAGGACATGTTCATGTTTTGATTTCAACCCATAGAAATCCATTCTCCTATGATCATTTAAAACCTTAAGTAGCTGAATGCAAACTAATTTCCTGTTTTATTGTTTTGCTGCAGGTTAACTTAGGCGGACTTGGGGAGATCTTTTCATGATGAAAAGAAAGTTAGGCTCAGTGTGTAATATGTAGGGAATTGTTGGCATATCCAAATGTATTTCCTCTTGAATACATTATTTTGCTCGCATGCATCCTCTCCTTTTCCAATTGTATGTTTGGTTTATCGAATTTTTGTTGTTCCGACAAAAAAATTAGGCCCTTGCAGAGTAATGGTTCAGGATTTCAAGCTGAGCACAGAATAGAAAGTTTAACAAAAAAAAGAAAGTGTAGTCTGTAGATTGTAATACCAATAACATCTGAAAACCACAAGCTATGTAATTGTACCTTTATGCGTGTGATGTTTTTAACTACAATCAAACAATAGTCAGTGAAACCAAGTCTAAGAGGATTGATCATTGATGCCAGTTGATGTTGCCTTTTCAGATTATTCCTGGAATCTAAATGAACCATGGGATGCAACAACAAGAGTAACCCTTTTAAAACCTTTTTTTATATATACAAAAAGAAAATGATATTAGCTCAGGAAGAAAGGAGGAACACAAACATCATCTGAAGCCATCAAGCCAATACTATTAAATGAATGGGTAATATCTAACATTCTATGACCAAAAGAATTGTGTAATAGTGAAACCCATACTGTTTGCTGAATGTATTTGGAACTGGAAGCATCACATCTGGAAAAAAGGAAAAACAGAGAACCAAACCAGAAAACAATGTCACTGAGATGACTGCCAAGTATACATTCCAATCCAACTGAACAAATATGTTACACAACTAATTAAACAAAAAAACATGCTGGTACGGTGGTAAATAATATATGCTTCATATGAACACCAATAAAATTTCTTCACATATGCTGTTATCGTACAAAATTTGTTTAGTTGCAAAGTGAAATTGCATTGGAAGGTCTTTCCACTTTGTTGCAAATATCTAGCCTTAAAGTTTCCCTCAGTCTACAGGTGTTCACAAAGTTACTTCAGCCTCAGAGGTACCCACTTTGCCATCAACCAGTCTGGAAATATCTGCTAGATGCCTATGCTTTATTCACACGGATGGGTTGTCCTTCCAATTCCTGAAATCACATTCAGTTGCAAATAAACCGCAAGCATGCAACAATATGAGGTTTTAGACTGAGTCATACAAATATCATTTTAAGGTATATTGGAGGATTTCAAGCTGGGTAATCAAAGAGAATGCATGTGTACTCATTAGCTCAGGAGCTAGTCATCACAATTCAGCCTGGAAACTGCAGCAGATTTCCTTTCTCTTTGATATGGTATGCAGAAGACATTTTTCGAACAATTTTGTGATAATCCATGCAATGAAATACCAAATTATAGAAATGGACTAAAATGCATAGGACATCATAAATAAGATTTGGTTTTGTACTTTTGTATGATACACTTCAAACATTATGGCAATATGGCATTAGTGAATGCATATAAGGTCATTTGATGCTAGTATCTGAACATGTCACACTGACCAAGTTACTTTTGATTATCCTAAGAAAGAGATGGCATAGGTCTCAAGTTACCACACCACATTATGCTTTTGATTAGCAAGTGCGATGTACTATAGGCAAAAAGAAACTGGCCACCTGCAGACATGGTAATGGTTACATAAAAGAAGCTTACCGCATTGTTGAAAGTAGAAACTGCAGCCTGAACTTCTTCCTCTGAAGAAAAGGTGACAAAACCATATCCCTTGGACTTTGCAGTTCCTGGAATCCGGGACACGGTGGCACTGAGAACCTCTCCCTTTTCAGAGAAGAAGTTTTTAAGCATCTCTGTGGTCACGCTCTTTGCAAGATTACCAACGTAAACCTTGTACTGACTGTCCACAAATACAGGCTCTGGTTCTGGTGCAGACCGATCAATGTTAGGCAAGAAGCTCTCCGTCACATTAACCTTAATTTTTCTACCACCGACCTCCTGATAAAGAAGAAATAAATCAGTACGCATGTCCTGGAACAATAATTGCAAATGACAACAGTATCAATGCAAATGATTGAATCTTACAGTTTCATTCAGGCTCTCAATTGCAGCATTAGCCTCCTCCGGTGTGCTCATCGTGACAAACCCGAAGCGCCTACTCCGGCCAGTGTATTTGTCAAACATAACCTGCGCAAAACAATCGGTGCAAACCCCCAATTACATCGGAGAGCAACATAACCCGGCACATTTCAGCAATCAATTCAGCACACCATAGCCAGTTGATTTGAGTAATTTATAGCTTCTACTATAATACAGCAGCAGCAGCAAATTATGACAGTGTAGTTCTGTTTCTCTTTTTTGTGCCAACATCTTTCTTGAGAGATTTTGTGCCAACATTTTGATAAGTTGTACTCATCCATTTCGACATCAATCAATACAGTAAGCTAATAAAGGCACGCATTAAACTTCCATGAACCAGAGTAATGCTTAGAATACTCATCAAAGAGAAAGAACTAAACTAGAGTAAATTTCATAAAGAAAAAAAATTTTAAAAAAAACAAAAAACGGGAGCCCGAGAAGCAATTGAGCGGGGGTCAGGTGACTACCTCGGCGCGCTCGACGGTGCCGTGGTCGGCGAACATGGCGGCGAGCTCGTCGTTGGTGACGGTCCTGGGGATGTTCCCGACGTAGAGCTTCCGCGCCGCCACCTCCTCGGGCGCCTCGAGCACCGACGAGGAGGCGACCACCCGCACCACCACCGCCGGCTGCCGGCGCCTCGCCCACCACCGCGCGGCCCCGACGGTGAGGCGGGAGGGGCACCGGCAGGAGCTGCTGCGGTGGTGGAGGGCCGCGGCCGGAGGGGTTATGAGGGAGGAGGAGATGGTGGTGGTGGTGGTGGTCGCCATTGGTGGAGAGGTAGGTAGTGAGCGAGGTGGCGAGGCGAGGGGAGGAGGAGGACGTTATCCGGACCGGCGTTTGGTGATAAAACCCTCTCCTGCAGTTCTGCATCGCTGGATGCTATGCAGGCCGATATTTTGGCATTTGGACTATGAAACTTTAGGTTTCTAGCAAAAAAAAAAGACATTGGAGAAAATTAGTAAATTGTATAAAACCACATGTTTTGTGGTTAAATTGGTAGAAAATCATACACAACTTGACACTTGTCAATTGTCACCTAACTATTATGGTATTAATTAATGTTTCACAAAACAATACTATTAAAAAAATATAATTCTTACCCATAGGATCCACCTACAGATGACGTAGGACATAAAGATGGCCATGGCCACTTCATTTGGTAGCTGGTCTACAGCGTAAGAATTCATACATAGTGCAGTTTTGTAAAACGCTAATAACATAATGCCTGTAGTTAAGTTGTAAATGTCAAAGTATGTGTACTTTTCTGCAACCGTGACAAAAAAACATATGGTTTTATGTAATTTTCTCAAAATTTTAAAAATATAATGTGGGCCAATATAAAGTGCTCCCTCAATTTAAAAATATAAACACTTCTTTCAATTTCAAAATATAAGCCTTTTAGATTCTTTACAAAAATTATGACAAACAAAAACCCATGTTCTTAGTCACTTTAGTTGTCAAATTTTAAATTGCTTCAAATCCCTCCTCAAGCATCTAATCGATTGAAAATGCATATATTTTTTTATTAACATGTGTGTCTCAAAATGTTTATATTTCATATAATTTTTTAAGTCCTATAGTATTTATATTCTGAAATAAAAGAAAGAAAATTTATGTAAAAATATTATTAATTCTAACATTATTCAGGGTATCATCATCACATCCCATATGAGTGCCATGGAGATTATAAGAACTTAAGAAGCATAGTATATAAGATTGTGTTGGCCAAGAGGTGGGCAACAAAATAAGTGGTGTTACAAACTTTGGAGTTTGGTCGCTAGACGTGTGTTTTATTTTATTTTCCTTCAAACAATTAATGCACAATAATCTTTCTCTGAGTTTAAAAGTTGTTATTCTTCACTATTAGTTTTTTTTATACTAATCTAATAAAACTCTAAACCTTATTCCGCAAACAATTCGTGTTGATATGGGCATATAACAAACTAGTATTCCTCTCGGTCATGTTCTGATTTACAACTTATTTCTATTTTTTTAAACGTAGAGACTTACAACACGTGCACAGTCACTCCCATAAAAACACACACGCTCACTCTACCCCCTACGAGCACCTCCAAAATACCACTTATTTCTTTCAAATAAAGATGTTTTATGTGTACGAAATTCACTCCAAACCATTTATAGTTCTTAAAAAAATTATTGAAACATTATTTTAAAAATTACATTAATTTACTTTTAAAATTTTAAGTTGATACTACTTAATTAATTATACATTAATAAGCTGTCTTGTTTCCGTGCATGAATGAGTCACCACTCACTACTACTCCCCCTCAAAAAAACTCAACTTCTAGAGTTTGAATTTCGTCCCATAAAAAATCAACTTCTACCATCATACTTATCCTCAGCACGTAAAACGAGAAACTTTATTTCTTTAATATCCTTTACCTACCCATCACTCTTACTTTTTTTTCAATTATTAAGGGTATTTTAGTTATTCTCACTCTGCACTATTGCTATCTTGGGATGTTAGGAATGAGTTTTTTTTTAAGGACTGAGGGAGTAAGGTTTAACTTGTCAAACGAATTGTCTGGACCGTCCATCCGTGGATGGACCGTCCTGATCTCCCCACCGAGAGGCCATGAGCAGTACACTTGTTCAACGTCTTCGTCCTCCCGCCGCTGAGAGCTCACTCACCTCTCCAATACGCCCAACCCCCACAAAACCCTAGCCCTCGAATCCCAAATCCCCGACCCCGCGCCATGGACGACGACGCTGGCGACGGCGCCGCTAGCGGCGGGACAAAGAGGAAGGTCACTGCGGCGTCGTCGTCGGCGGCGGCGAAGGGGAAGGCGGCGGGGAAAGGGAAGGCCGCCTCTAAGGCGTCGGCGTTGGCCACGGCCAAGGAGAGCAGCCTCCTCAAGCAGAGTTAGCCCTGGCCTCGCGCGCAACCTCCCTACCCTTTGCTTCTTTCGAGGAATTGGTTCATGTTTTTCGGCTCTTTGGTTTGACGATTCTTGTGGGGGGGGGGGGGGGTTTCCCCCCTTTTTCTCGGTGCTGTGCTGCAGAGTCGCCTGCTGAATTCTTCGCGGAGAACAAGAACATCGCGGGGTTTGACAATGTGAGCTATATATCCTGTTGATTGCTGGTTTACTGGGGTGAAACGGTTAATACTGATGCATTAGTCTACTCTCAAGTTAAATGGTTAAAAATGTTAAATACATAAATGATGTCCATTTTTTATCCTAGCTTCGGCATAATATTACTTGATAGCTAACATGGAATGCACTGGTGTTCAGTTGGCGAGAACAGAAAATATCAGTTCCTTGATTTAATCGCTAGGCAGCATGAACCATAAGAAATTAAGAATAGTTGTAGGAGGAAATCTAGTATATATCATACTTGAAGGTTTTGATTGACACAAAAAATGCTGGACAGCCTGGAAAGTCACTGTACACAACGATGCGGGAGTTAGTTGAGAATGCCCTTGATTCAGCCGAGTCCATCTCTGAGCTCCCTGACATAGAAATTATAATGTAAGTGATAATCAAGTTCAGTGTTTTGGGTATTTTCCTCTGCAATGTGGGTTATCACCCTAACAGCCTTTATATTATACTTCGATAGAGAAGAGATCACGAAGAGCAAGTTCAACACAATGATAGGGCTAGTTGATCGACAGCGTATTGATGAAGAGCTCTATGATGACTTTGAATCGGCTAAGGCTCGTGAGGTATTATTACGACCTACAATTTATTACTTGAAACAATGTTAGCTGAATTAACTTCTTATTTTCTTGATGACCTTTCTAATGAAGATTGCCTACTTGTCTTTCTGGATCATCCATCTTTTCACTTTTCTATTCTGACAGTACCTTATAATTTTCACAACATGTAGAAACGCCTTGCCAAAGAAGCACGCTTCCAAGAAACACAAGCCAAAAATGCTGCTCTTGGGAAGAAGGTTAAGGAGGCTCCAGCTGCTCGAGGGAAAGGTCGGGGTGAGGCTGCATTTTTTAGGGTGACTTGCAAGGTATTCCATGATGACTAAGTTTTTATGATGAAAATCTATATTACTAGCTTATAATCTCGAATGCTTTCGTGGACTTAGGATAATGGTCGAGGTATGCCACATGATGATATCCCAAATATGCTTGGTAGAGGTATGTTTTGAATGTTGATATTGATAAAAAATAATGGAACAGATAAGCGTGACAATTTTACTAAACTAAGGATAGCAAAATGCTCTACGATATCACTAAATCTGTTTAAATTTGGTGCAGTGTTATCGGGCACAAAGTATGGTTTGAGGCAAACACGTGGAAAATTTGGTCTTGGTGCTAAAATGGTAAATTTTCTGCACACATACTATTAAGTTTTCTATACCCTAGTTTTCTGGCAACTGTCCTTTTTATCAATAACATGTAGCATCCGTGCTTTCTAGGGAAAAAAATGCAGTTTATTATCAGATTTTGCCCTTCTTTTCATAAAATTTTTTTGACATGCTTTCATTATTTTGGTTCATAGCTGAATGCTTTATTATTTGGGTTGTGTACTTGTGTACTGCATGAAAACATCGATCGTCGTGTGCTTTTCTTCATTATCCTTTTTTTTCTATCCTAAGTCCTAAGTATTAATGTAGAGAGAAAACAGTAAGAAACTAAAAGTTTTGACTTGCAGTCAAGGTTATCACTGGCATTGCCATGTTGTCCTGGTCACCAGGGCCTTTCGCATAGGCTAGTCAATGATGGGGAGGAGAGGGGAGGACAGGAGGAAGGGATAGCATTTGGGGATTGGAGGGCTTCATGGATACAGACTCTCCAGTCATTGCCGTTCCTCCTTTCTACCAGTGCTGTTGCCTGTCACCCCTCTATTCCACTATCGTGTCCCTATGTATACAGCTGGTAGTTATCTGGAGAAGGGATGTGACAAGGGGAGGGCGACAGGAAGATGAACGGCGGGGATATAAAATTCACTCAACTTCAGGGTTCCATGGAGCAGTAGCAGCAGCAGAGGTGCTACCATGAAGGGGAGAGGGAGAGGGAGAGGGAGATAGATGGCGGCTAGGAGTTGAGGCATGGGGGAACAGGCTAGCAGGTCACAAGATGATTATAGAGGGTTTTGCTTAAATGGAATTTCGGGCTTAAGTTGAATAGGCAGTGAGCTTTGGGAGTCTGGCCTAACTATCATATATCCTCATTTTCTCTTCATTATATGTGGACATATGTTCTGATTAGTTTAATTTAAGTCATCTCTAAGGCTACGTTCTTTCCCTTAGGTTTAAAACGAGAAAGCTCATTAGCACATAATTGCTGCGTTCTTTCCCTTAGGTTTAAAACGAGAAAGCTCATTAGCACATGATTAATTAAGTATTAATAATTATAAACTTGAAAAATGGATTTATTTGAATTTTTTAAACAACTTCTATATAGAAAATTTTGCAGAACACATACCATTTGATAGTTTGAAATACGTGCTAACGGAAAATGAGGAAGTTGAAATTGGAGTTGAAGAAAAGAACTAAGCCTAACTCTCGTTATGGCGTGGGTCATGGGGCTTGCTTGTGTGAGCGCCATGATAACCTTGGTCACAATCACGAATAAACAAACAACTATTTACGATAAGCTCAACCATGTATCTATGATGCGTAGGCCTTAGGAAATTTTGCCTGTAATGTAGGTAGCTGCCAGTAGCAGATTGTGAAGGCAAGATGTGCAAGACTAATACTGTGATGGATTTTTTCTTTTGTTCTGTTACTCGGTAGTTGTAGACATATTGCAGCTGTGGTTCTTTATTGGCTATTCGTTCTATCTACTTTAATTTTATTGCAGTTTGTTGGTGAATTTCAGTGGATTTAATGTGAATCAGTTAATTAATTAAACAGGCACTTATATGGTCAAAGATGAGCACAGGCCTTCCTATTGAGATTAAGTCATCAATGAAAGGCCAGAATTTTATTTCATTTTGTCTTCTTGATATCGATATTCATAAGTAAGTACATTTTGTTGGGTCATCGGCTCAACACAGGAGCTGATTTGTTGGTCACTACCTTTTACCTTATTGTAAACATAAACAGTTCTTTTTTGGAGGTAAACATATAGAGTTTATCATGACTAACATTGATCCCCACAATTTAGGAATGTCCCTCATGTTCATTTACATGAGAAAAGGGAGAATAAAGATCGCTGGCATGGGGCGGAGCTTCAAGTTATAATTGAGGGGAATTGGACAACTCATCGTGTGAGAATCATATTTTCTTTCTTTCTCTTTTCTGAAATTGAATCATGGAACTGCACAGTGGAGAAAATCACAAGTTATCTTTTGCAGTCAAAGATACTACATTACATGCGTCAGATGGCTGTCATCACACCATACGCTCAATTCCTTTTTAGATTTCTCTCAGACTCACCCGAGTATGAATCTTCTCCTCTGTTCTTTTGAGTTCTACTAAATTGGTGATCTTCTAATTCCTTTTGTTATGGCTATGGTTTTGTAGCAAAAATTTGACAATACAGTTTGCACGGAGGACAGATGTTATGCCTCCTATTCCTCTTCAAACTAAGCATCATCCTTCTGCTGTTGATTTACTGCTGATAAAGCGCTTAATATCAGAGACTACAAAGCAAAACCTTTTGCAGTTCCTCCAACATGAGTTTGTGAATATTAGCAAATCTCATGCTGAACGTTTGATCGGTGAGATGCATGATATGCAGTGTGGGTTTTTGGGGTAGTCTATGAAAATAAACAATAAAGCAATATAGCTTCTTTGGTAACAATCAGCATTATTTAGCGATTGTGATGTAAATTACCTCTGGCAAATTCATGCTGTCTTTCTTTATAAACATATTAGCTTATTAAGTTTGACTTATGTTTCATTTTTTTTGCTGTTTGCAATATACATGACTGTATACTGAAACAGTACATCCTATTTGGAACCTAGTTAGTGGCTGAAAATCCTTTGCATAATTTTGTTCTACCTAAACCTGTTGTTCTTGTTATTAGTTCTATATTTTTTTTTTCGTATTTCATATTTTCAAATAAACAGGGGAGATGGGGCCTGATTTCAGTGCAAAAACGACAGTTAAGAGTCTTACATCACAGCAATTAGTTCGGATACATCAGTTATTTCGGCAGGCAAAATTTGATGATCCCAGTGGCAATGTATGTACCCTGTCCACCTTGATCTGTGTATTTTCTCTTTATTTCCTACTTCTTTCACAAATATGCAGTTAGTGATTACAAAATATAGAAACCAACCAATTCTGTAGTGTCTTAGTCCTGCAGGTGAATACAATTTACGTCTAGGTATCATAAAAGAGCTGCACCCTGATCTAGTTGCTACGCATGCAAGCAGGTATACCATTGAACTATACAGTGTCGATGACTACATGTTGAATGCCCCTATGACACAACGCTATTCTCTAGCCCACAGGTTTTTGAAGGTCATCCATTCATCGTTGAAGCTGGAATAAGTATTGGTGGAAAAGATGTTAAACATGTAAGAGAATCATTCTGCTTTTACAAATAACCCATTTACCCACTTTAACTATTGTTAAAATTTGGTTTTCGAATTGCAAAACCCAGTGTTTGATATTCCTCAACTCCGATGGCAGTAAATCCACCTCAGTTGACATAGCATCTACTTGGACAAGTTTACTCACACGCTAGCGCTTAATCATCTACTTGTTAGCTATACATGCATCTTAATGAATTGGAATAGTTATTCTCCTCCATCCCTTGCTCTGTCTCTCCTCTTGTCCGATTCGCTGACATGGCATATTGGCATAAACTTGGAAATGTTTACTCACACGCAAGCACTTGATCATCTCCTTGTTAGCTACTACATGTCATGCATTTACAAAAAATGAAGTAATTATCCATCCCAGGTAGCTAAGACTATGAAGCTGTTGGCATATATGTTTATATGGCTTCTCAGTTCTTCTTAGAGCACTTGGAACAATCCTTTTCTGTTTATCTCTTATGTTGTACTTAAATTTTGATATAAACTAGCTAAAGGCCCATGCATTGCAAAGGATATTTTAAGAGATAAATACAAAAGAAAAAAAATTACAAGTTTATAGCATAGTTAGTTGATTAGGCATATAATGCCATCTCCAAAGGCAGCCATTTTAAAATATGCTGCTAAATCACATCTTTTTATCCTCTTCATCTATTTCCATAAGGCATATGGTCAGATAACAATGCCAGGATCAATCATGTGTGGAGACCTTATAGCCGAAAATGTCAGCTTGTGGTGTTCGAGGCAGACTCAGACACCACCACTAACATCATTTAAAGTAGTATAGATATAGATATCTGGATTAGCCTCATTACCTGATTTTATTTTTATATTGAATCAAACTCCTAGAAGGGTCTGGTTTTTCATTAAATAATGACTCACTTTGGAATGAAAAAAATTATGGCATTATGAAGTTGCAGTGAGCAATTTTTTTTTTTTGGGGTGGGGGTGTGTGGGGGGGGGGTTTGGAAGGGATTACCAAATTCAATTGCCTTGAAAATATAAGAAGAATAGTCAATCTTGGCTATTATCTGAGATTTTGTTGGCTCAGATTAGATTTTTAAAGTTACCTGCATATCCAATATCCCCAGAGTTGTTCCATTTTACTGATTCAGTTAATGAATATTAGTCCACATGAGTAAACATGTTACTTTTTTTACTAATATCATGCACTAAGTCCCAATTATGAGGGATCGCATCTATGTCCTGCATTTTCCTTGCTGACAAGCATACCGACGATTGGAATTCTCATATCTGTTGTATTCAGGGTCTAAACATTTTTAGATATGCGAACCGAATCCCACTTCTCTTTGAACAAGGTGCTGATGTCATCACAAGAACTGCTTTAAAAAGAATCAAGTAAGATTTCTTTTGTATTCGCAGATTCACTTCAACTGTAGTTCTAGATGTTGGCTCACATTTATAACTCTTGCCTTTCCTTGTCTTCTAGTTGGAGCAGCTACAAAATAAATCAACAGCAGGACAAGATTGGTGTCTTTGTTAGCATTGTAAGTACAAAGATACCTTTTAAAGGAACTGGAAAAGAGTACATTGGGGATGACATAACCGAAATAGCATCTGCTGTTCAGGTAGATCCACACATACCATATTTATTCTCTGTGAGGTCATGTAATAATGATCCTTTTCCCCCTTCAGTCAGCCCTTAAGCAGTGTTGTCTTCAACTGAAGTCAAAGATAGTAAAGAAACTACAGGCTCGTGAACGGCAGGACAGGAAAAGGAACCTAAACAGGTGATTTCTCCACCCGTATATCTATGCTGAAATATTTGGCATATGGTAATGTCTATTATTATTATTAGCATGGGTTCAAACTGTTGTTATTTTGAATTTTTTTATGTTATTCTGAAATCTGAATCTGTAATTTTGCTTAAGGACATATCCGTGATGCTTGTTGAATGTTGGGTAAGGTTTTGGTGGCATCATTGATATCAGGTTCACAATGGATAGTATGGACAAATAATAGCTTCGCACAACCTTGGCAGTATTCATTTGTCAGGCTAGATTTTTTTGGCACGTGCATGTGCGTTTCTGCAGTGGCAGCACTCATGATTTATTCATAGATCTAGTTAGGGACAAATATTAATTCGGAGTGCTTTATCACATGACAGGAAGCACTTTGCAAGTACGTATATGATATATTTACGTGCTCTCTTTTCCATTTGCAGATACATTCCTGATGTTGCGAGGGCAATTATGGAGACTCTGGGAGAAATTGCAGATGAGTCTCCCCCAAAGAGGCCACGTTATGATAAGGAAGATGAGGAACTCCTTGAGAAAGTAAACTCTGAGGAGGTGACAGAGATGACCTTTAGGGATTGCTTAACACAACATGTTGAACAGGTAAGAAAAATGCTCAAATGCTTGCTCTGTTTTAATTTAGTGTCAGTAGCAACGCATGTCTTGTTCTGGTCAATAGCAAAGCATGACTAGAGTCTTTCACCTTTCTTTTACGAACTAGCAGCAGCATTTGCTCTAATAGACATCTGGTTCAAAATGACTATTATTTCTGAAATGCATTTTGGCATCTCAATGGTTAAAATCCTAGAACCCTGATGACATTTCAATGGTTAATTCTGTTTCAAATTGCTAACGGGGTTAGGCCATGAATCCTGATGGAAACTAGGTCCCAAATGTCCTGCTACTATCTACCGTTTTGAGTTTTTTTTACACTGATTTTTGATGGTTTTAACATGAAACAACAACCAGGTTGATTATGAAATGGCATTGGAGTACGCCATGCAGAGTGGAGTAAGCGAGGAACCTCGTGAAGCATTATATTTAAACTCCCTTGAAGGATCTTACAAGTTTATCGATTTCCAGAGCCCTGTTTTTGTGTTCAGATTTATTCCTTGAGAGTGCAACTTGCATGTCCATCTGTTGCTAGGTTGATTAATATTTACTTCCCATAATCCCATTGTACTGCGGATGTTTTATGAACCTTTTGCCGATTCAGCAGTCATGACCGCAAGTTTGTAACTTACACATTATAGATTTTTAGAGTAGTTTAGGTCCATGATATGTTTGTTGCATTCATGGAGATTTTTATTTTTCAATTTTTCTTTAACATATGGGAGTTCACTTCTACCCATTCAATTTTAGGAATAGGAAACATTAGAGAGTGTGTTTGCTGGTATGATTATAAGTTATACTACATAATTATGTGTTAAATTGATTTAGATCCAAGATATGCTTGCATACTGCGTTATTCGAGAACAGCCTTGTAAACAGACTATGGACGTCACGGACTGGAGGGTGGCTGTGAACGGCGATGTCCCCTTCGGCCGAGACCTGTGGTTCGAGCCAAGCGAGGAGTCGATATATCACCTTGAGGGAAGACACATATTTGTTATCGGATATTGTACTTGTTAAAATATATATTTTTCGTTGAATAAGAGAGAAATAGGGTGAGAGGTTAGAAATACCCCTAGCGGCCTAGCTTCATATATCAGTCCGCCATTTCTCTTCCCTCTCTCCGTATTACCTCCAATCCCCACCGCAGCGCCAGCCCCGCCTATCTTCCATCGTGGCCGTGGCGGCATGACCCCGACTTTCACTGCGCCCGGCCTTGCCGCGCAGTGTCGCACGCGATCATGCCGGCTTGGCCTTCCGCCCGATCCTGTCAGGGCATTCACAGTGCGTCACGAAAGTTTTTATGTTTCTCACATGCCACCTAGACCAAGAACAATACTAGCTACATGTTCCACGAAGTTTTGGTATTCCTCACATGCCACCTAGACCAAGAACAATACTAGCTAGATGTTCTATAATGCAAACTCCGCAAGACCACAATACAAGAAGCTTAGTGGGTCCCACCAATACCACTTTTCTCTTTTCACTTTCCCCTCTCCTCTCCTCTCTCTCTCCCTCTCTTCCTTTTCCAACCACAGAGAGCCGAGCGGCAGCTCGACGGCGCCGGCGCCAAGCGGAGCGGTGGCGGGGTGGCGACGGCGACGGCGCCGGTCGGAGGATTCGAGCGGCGGCGGTCGAGCGGAGCAGCGCCGGCGTCCTCTCCTCCACCCCCAACGACGCGGCGGTGACGTGGCCCAAGCGGCGGCGCGGATCGACCTCGAGCTCCCCTCTCCGGTGTCGGCCCGGTCCTCCTCCAAGGTGGCTGCGTTGTCATCATCGTTTTCTCTCTCTCTCCTCTCCCCCATGCGGCGCCCCTCTCACCAAAAGACACATTGGATGGCGGCGGCGGACGACTTGGAGGGGGGGACGGCAACGGCATGTCGGCGGCGGGCGTACGACTTGGAGCGGGGGACGGCGACGAGCGGCGACGGCGTCGGGCGGCTGCGCGGTGGCGGGCGTCAATCGGCGCCCTCCTCCCGTGGCGTTCGGTTGCCTTGCCCCCTCTCCCCTCTCTGCTCTAGTGGTGGTGTGGGTCCCGCTGAGACGAAGAACGTGAAGCCAACTTTGGCTACGCGAAGTTGAGGAGCGCGCGCGGTTTGATGACGAGGCAAAGGAATATTCGCCTTTTTGGTTGAGGCTGAATGCCACCTAGTCCCATTGTGAATGGCCTCACACGGCACTACCCGTGCTTGCGTCGGCCTAACTTGTGCGCGAACCTGTTGCACGGAGCCCCCCGGATCAGCGTCTGCCAGCGCGGCCACGGTGTCCAGCCGGGCCCGTCGAGCGATACTACTTATGCTTGCATCGGTCACCACGCGGTTTGGCTGTACTCGTGGCACTGTTAACGTCAAATTGATCCTCCCTTTATTTCAGGTTATAAAATGTTTTGACTTTGGTCAAAGTTAAATAGCAGCTTTAGTTTAACTAAGTTTATAGAAAAAAGTAGTAATATTTTCAACCCAAGACAAATTTATTATAAAAATATATTTAATTATTGATTTGATGAAATTAATTTAGTATTATAAATATTACTATATTTGTCTATAAATTTAGTTAAACTTGAAACAGTTCGACTTTCATCAAAGTCAAAACGTCTTGTAACCTGAAACGGAGGGAAATAATATTTTTTAATGGTTTCAGTTAAGGAAAGAACGCAATCAGCCGATGGAAACTTATCCAGAAGAGACTGAGGTCAAGAAGAAACTATGGCATGGTAGCTTAATTCTATATATTAACTAGGCAGAATTCAGTCATTTCCTTCTATCTTTAGGAAATGTTTTTAGGAAATGTTTATTTAGTGTCCGATCATGACTTATATCTTTCCTTTTATCTTTAGAAAATATGTGTCGTGTTCGATATGGACTAGTATCTACCCATATGTATAAATATGTACACCCGGAGTCTCTGTAATCTATCTCAACGATCAATGCAACTACTCTCGGCGCATCGCCACCCTCTTTTCCGGGGTTTTAGTTATCAACGAGTGGAACTTGGCACCTGATGCGGGGCTGCATCGGCTTTCTTTCTCCGGTGAAGGGGTAAGTCCTATATTCGGCCAGCTCTGACAATTCTATGGCTACATTGGTGTTGTTCACGGCTGCATCTCTTCGACCTCTTGGATTGCTCTGGTTCGGTTGATATATTTGCCTATCTATTTATCATATATCTTACTTAATTTAAGTTGATTACTTGTATCTTCAGATCTTTTTTAGGGTTTTGCCAGTATTGGCTAAATTATTTTATCGATCTAGATTAGTTAAGGTATCTACCACCCTGAAAATCAGTCAAATGTTTGATTATTTAGATATTATTTTTTTCATACTTTGCGATGTATCAACCCTAGTCATGCTTAGAACCATAATCTCTAGTTCGCCTTTTGATGCCAATAAGGTTTTCATCGGGGTTTCAGCCGATGAGTTATCTGGACGTTGCATCAGTTTATAAGGATTTTGTACAAGTTAGTTTTAGCCATTCGCAACAAAGGTTTCACTTATTATTTAATCATTTTAATTTTATGACATCGGACCTCCAGCCGATGTATGCTTTAACCTTCAGATCAACGTTTATTCTATCATATCATTATTAGCCGATTGGTTTCCATTGGATTATATTGTTGTTTTATTACATTATCATCAGTCGATTGTCTTTATATCATTATTTACTCAAGTGTCAAAATCTACATTGGACGTATAGCCGATTGCTCAAAACCCTGTTGGCATCGGCTGGTATTGACATCGGCTAGTATCGCTCTATCGGCTCATCAGCCGATCGGCTCTTTGATCTACTGTTCTTGTCAGTTGGAAGATCAAACTGACTGACACACCCGTATCTCATCAATTGCTTTAGCTGATTTCCTTGCCGAGTGGACCGAGTGCCAAGAAGACATGCCAGAGGAAAAGATGGAATATTGGACTATGTATTTTGATGGGTCGAAGAGGCTTATAGGCACTGGACCTGGGGTCGTCTTAATTTCCCCGACTGGAGAAAGATTGAGCTACGTATTATGGATACATTTTTCTGCATCCCATAACGTGGCGGAATATGAGGCGCTACTCCATGGATTAAGGATTGCAATCTCTTTAAGCATTCGCCGATTAATCGTCCGTGGAGACTCTCAGTTGGTTGTTAATCAAGTCATGAAAGAGTGGTCTTGTCTAGATGATAATATGACTGCTTATCGACAAGAGGTACGCAAGTTGGAAGACAAATTCGATGGACTCGAGCTCACCCATGTCCTCCGACATAACAATGAGGCAGCCGACAGACTGGCCAATTTTGGTTCAAAACGGGAAGCAACTCCTTCAAATGTATTCGTCGAACATCTTTACGAACCGACCGTGCCCAGAAAAGAGACAACTGAAGCCATGGATACTCATGGCGTAAGCATGATTGAAGCCGACTGGAGAGAACCTCTCATAGAATTTTTGACCAAACAACAACTCCCTCAAGACAAAAATGAAGCCGAGCGGATTTCCAGGCGCAGCAGACTTTACATTATTCACGAAGCTGAACTATACAAGAAAAGTCCATCAAGAATACTGCAGCGCTGTGTATCTTTGGAGGAAGGGAGACAATTGTTGAAGGATATACATTCTGTCATTTGTGGTAATCATGCTGCTGCATGGACCATCGTCGGCAAAGCTTACCGGCAAGGTTTTTTCTGACCTACAGCTGTGTCCGATGCGGACAAGATTATGTCAATTTTTTGCCAGACAAACTTATTTGCCAGCCCAAGAGTTGCAAACCATCCCGTTGTCCTGGCCGTTTGCGGTCTAGGGGCTTGACATGGTCGGCCCATTTAAAAGGGCAGTTGGTGGTTACACGCATCTCTTTGTGGCTATCGACAAATTCTCCAAGTGGATTGAGGCTAAACCGGTCATCACGATTACAGCAGATAAAGCTAGAGATTTTTTCATCAGCATTGTGCATCGGTTTGGGGTACCTAATCGGATCATCACTCATAATGGCACTCAATTCACTGGTGGAGCATTTAAAGACTTTTGTGAAGACTTCGGCATTAAAATTTGTTATGCCTCCGTGGCACACCCCATGAGTAACGGACGAGTTGAGTGCGCTAACGGCATGATACTGCAAGGGATCAAAGCACGAGTTTTCGACCGACTACGCCCCTATGCTGGCAAGTGGGTAGATCAGCTGCCGTCCGTACTTTGGTCTTTACGTACTACTCCTAGTCGGGCTACCGGCCAGTCCCCGTTCTTTTTGGTTTATGGCGCAGAAGCAATGTTGCCGAGTGAAGTGGAATTTGAATCACTACGATTTCGGAACTTCAACGAGGAGGGCTATGAAGAGGGCCGAGTAGACCACATCAACCGATTAGAAGAAGCCCGAGAAGCAGCTTTAATTCAATCGACTCGATATTTGCAAGGGTTGCGTCGTTATCATAATCGGAATGTCCGATCGCGAGCCTTTTTAGTCGGTGACTTGGTTCTGAGGAAAATTCAAACAACACAGGATCGGCATAAATTATCTCCTTTATGGGAACGACCGTTCATAATTGCTGAAGTTACTCGGCCTGGTTCTTATCGACTCAAGCGCGAAGATGGTACTATCATTAACAATTCTTGGAATATTGAACACCTTTGTCGATTTTACGCTTAGGCATTTCGTTTGTATCTTTCCTCTTTGACTACTAACTTCAAGTTTTTCCTCGAAGTTTTCAGTCAGGGGGCTACTATAATAATAATGGAGTGTGATTTTTATCAATTCAATTTGCTTACTTGATGTATCATTGCCCTGTTTGATTTCTTGGCTTAGTCAATGAGGACAGAAAGTTTTTTTAACAACTTTTGCGGGTTTTAGGCTTAACAAGGTTTGACAAAAACTTTTAAGAAATCAGGAGCTAA